GGATCCTGACGCAGCGACTTGGACACCGCCCGACCTACTCCCGTGCCGGAAAACTCGACGTTGACGGTGGTCCCCGTGGCGGACAGAGCGGGTCCAGACTTGGGCACCAACCTCGCCGGCGGTCGCAGGGCTGAGCCCCGCCCGCGGCTCGACGACCGCATCAGCGCCGTTGGTCGTCGCCCTCCTTCCTGCAGTTGCGGTCCACCAAACAGCTTGGAGATCGGTGCCATCAAGCTCGCTGCCGTGAATCCCGCCTCCTTCGCCGCATCGCCACCCTCCGCCTTGGATGGATTCATGGCTGCCTCGCTCATCTTCGGCGCAATTGCCGGCTCTAATATCACCTCGTTCAGCGTCACGCGCATCTGACCCATCTCCGTGAATGCCTCCTTTAGGAGCTTGAACAACACGCGCAAGTCCCTCCGCGTGCACGATGTCGTCACCTTCTCGTCCTCGAGTAAGCTCCGGTAGTGCGTCCGCAGTGCCGTTGCATCGTGCACGATCGCGTCGACGGTCGTGCGCGATAAGTGGGCGACCATCTCCGTGCCGCCGAGGTGCTGCCGCTTGAGCCGGTTCGAGAGCGTAAGCGCGTCGGCCTGGGTGAGTCGGTGTAGGAGCGTGGTCGCGCGCTCAAGAAGGGAGCTCATCACGGCCGACTGGTTCGACTCGGCGAGGGAAGATGATTCGGACGGGCCTTCTCCCGGCGAAACGGAGGACACGCGGTCACTGTACGCGGGTGCGGATGGTAGTCCCGGCGTCAACAGGCCCGACCACGCGTCAGTCTGTACGCCACGTTCTCGTGTGAGTAAGATCAGAGGACGTATAGACCGGCGCCGCTCGGTTCTGGCGTTCAGATCGCCTGGCTGGTCGTTGCCTTCTTCGCCTTCGCTCGGTGGCGTACGCCCGTCGTGCGGCTGTGCAAAAGCCGTCCATTTCATTTCACTGGGGACAACAGAGGATGCGGGGGACAATGGTCGCCGGTAATATTCGGGGCTCGTCGGATCCTGCGATACACATCAGATTTCCCGGATATTGAGATATGCCGTGAGGTTCACCGTGCTCACCCTCGCGGATCCAGGGTGTTGACCGGGCAGGGAGCGCGGTGTGAGCGGCGCTGAAATGGCCGGTGCACCCCCCACAGCCACCGTCGATGCGAGTCCAGCGGAGAGATCGCTGAAAACTGATGATGCAACGCTATTACTGTACCGATGTCTATAGTGAGGTCGCTCCGCTGATACTAGGCGTGATTAGCTTGCAGCTTTCCCTATCGAAACAGAGAGATACACACCAGGAGGTGGCTTGGCGGCTACAGCGGCCCGTAGCTCGTCGAGCTCTTCGTTCAACGCGTGTACGTCTTCGCGCGACTCGCCCAGGAGGTTTTGCAGCTCGGCATTGTTGCGCTTGAGGTCCTCGTTGTCCACGACCAAGGTCTCGAGAACCTTGGTGACCTCGGAATCGTCTGCGGGAACGCTGTGCCCCAGCTGAGCGTGCTGCAGCATCTCAAGACGCGCACGGGCGTCGCTTAAGACGTCTTCGGTAAGCTCCAGTCGATGTTGGCGTTGCTGCTGTAGATCCTTCTCGAGCTTCTGCATCTCTGCCTGTAATTTCGCTATACGCAAGTAATCCCCATCAGCGACGCGAATGCCCTAAGATTGTGCGACTACGCACAGCATCTGTCCTTCAATGCTACAACGCGCTGCTCAGCCATGCGCGCTCGCTGCGACTCACTGTCCCTCTCCTGCTGCAAATCATCCTTGTCTTGCATAGCAGCCCTCAGCCGGGTGTCCCATCCCACCGCTCGTGCATGGTGTGCCGTGAGCCGGGTGATCGTCGCACGAGCTTCGCTGAGCTCTTGACCGAGCGTCGAGTTGGAGGCCTCCGTCACTTCGGCGTTGACTAGAGCTTGTGCGAGACGCTAAGAAAGCGGGGTAGTTATGAAGTCAGAATGCAGTGAATGTAGGCCGTGGCCAGCATACCTTCTCCAGAGCCGCGTTCTCTAGCGTCAGCTCCGCAACTCGCGCGTCCGCGGATGATTCTGCATCTCCATATTCGCTGCCTTCGGTCGGTATGCCGTGCGGAGGGCCACGCAGACCCTAAGATGCCTCGGCACGCTTCCAACAAAGAGCTGGGCGACTGGACGCACCTCATGCTGCCTGACATACGCCTCATGCTTCTGCAACAAAGCCTGGCCGACCTCTAGGTAGGTCGTCTCAGTGAGTTCCTACGCGCCCGCCTGTCCAGCGCACGCACCCGCACAGAGCGTGAGCCTCTCCTCAAGCTTGTTCTTGATCGCGAGCCACGCCTGGGTATGATCGCATTCCCCACGACCGCAGCAGCAGGTGAGGAGTGCCACGGGCTCCGGGGTCTGTCCGCGCGAGAAGCTGGCGAGGGCAAGGGTGAGGTCGTCGGTGGTCTGGCCGTTGCCGAGGTCGAAGCTGCGGGACATGAGCAGGGGCGATTCGGGGGGTATCGGGTCGGTGTCCATGATGGGAGGTCAAGTAGGTATATATGTGATCTGCAGCGGGAATGGCGACCAGGAGTAGTATGTGCACCAACTTTCGACCTCAAACCGGGCGAAGCAGAGCCGCGAGCGCATCACGCCGCCTCCTTGCCCGAATCGAGCGACGCGCAGGTGATGGCGGCACCATGGCTGTGTGCTGATCCCCTTCCATCGCAGACCACCTCGCAAATATTCTACAGATCCATATATCATTCACATGTCCAGCCGCCGTTGCTATGACCGTGCGAGGAGATAGCCAACCACCGTCAGTATGCATACTGCAATACTCGCATGGCGCCAACGCTCATATTCCCGACTCAGTGGCGCTCCGTCATATTCAGCAGTGTTCTTTCGCAGCAGGCCAGATTATGATTAGGATATAGACTAAACCATGAATCGTGCTATGCAAATGCAACTATGATGGAGATAATCCCCAGGCGGTAACCTGTGGGCAAGCAATGTTCCAGGACATGGACGTGGTATAGCGTGTGTAAGTCGTTCCGGATAATGTCAAAAAAGGAAGGAAAGCGGGTTACTCATTGCATCATCGACCAAACGAAACAGGGTCGAGACAAACCACCCAAGACCGGACGGATATAACCATCGTCCAGGGCCAGAATTTCCACATAGGCAACATTCATGAAGCTCTTAAGCGCCGATGAGCGAGGGACAGCATGTTCTTCAGCGACTTTTCGAGTACGGGCTTCGTCAACACGTGGTTCGCGCCCGCCTCGAGATACTCCTCCTGATCGGACAGGAGGGCATTGCCAGTCACACCGACCACAAAGTCGTCTCTACCGTCACGTCGTAACCGCTATCCCTTGCTCATCAGTTTCGACCTTGATAATGACCAGCAGGTCACTTACAGCGACGGCTTGGATGCCCGAAAGTACCGGCATCTGGTTATCCAGGAATATGATCGCATACTTGCGTTCCGCTGCCGGCGACGACGCGACCGAACTCGAACTCCCCGGATCTGAAGGTACAGACTCGGACGCGGGCGTCGTGTTTGAAGACCCGGTGATCATCTCCAGCGCCTTCTCGCCGTTGTCAGCCGTAGACACCACGCAACCCAGCCGGGTCAACAGGCGCTTCATGAGCATGCGCGTCAGCGGATCGTCGTCTACGACGAGCACCTCCATCCCGGGCTCAAACCGATGGTCCTCCCGGGGCGATGCCGGTTCCGCGATAGGGACGAGCTCGTGGCTGGCGCGGCTGGGTAGGTTTTCCGGAGATGCGGTGGCTTGAGTAGAAAATACCGGTGCCTGGGGCAGCTCGATCGAGGGCGGCCGTTCTCTGGACTTGCTTGAACCCGGTTTCGCCGTGGAACAGGAGGATGATTTCGAGTTTTTCTCCCTCGGGTCCGGAGCGCTCGGCGGCGTGCTTGGTGCGGGCACCTCTGCCTGAGGCTCATGCTCCGACACCTCGGCCATGGGTATGAACTCAAACGGGGCATGTCCACCGGTTTCGTCGGGCGTGCCGACTGGGGTGGGCAGCGCGCCGGTCGCAGGAGACGGAGGCGTTATGAACCTCCCGCCGGTGAACGACTCCCCTGACTTCGTCAAAGGCTCCACAAGGCCACCTGGACAATGCAACGTGAACGGCGTGGATGGCTTTCTTCGACAGGTCGCGCACCTTGCTCCATGATCCCTCTTACTGCAGTCGACCGGACGCGGGGCCGCCGTTTCGCTCGCTCTACGGCCGTATCGGATGCGACCATCGCCTCAAATTCGCTTGACAACGGATCCGAGTACCGCGTGCTCGTGTCGTTGCTCGCCTTCTTCCCGACTCCCAAAGCTGCAGAGAAATTCGTTAGAGTTGTGAGTGTCTGCACAGCAACATATAACGCACGCAGTTCTACCCAAAACGTTGAACCTTCCCCGACTTTGGAGCGCACACCAAGTCGCCCACCACTCCGCTTGACGATCTGCCGTACCAGCGCCAACCCTAGCCCTGTGCCCTTGCCTCCTTGCTGTCTGCCCATCTCCGTCTGATTGAAGGCGGCTTGCACGTTCGTCAGTGCCGAAACAGCTCCGCACGCACTGACTAGGCTCACAGAATAGATTATTGTGAATCATATCCTTGCTATGGATGCCGCAGCCAGTGTCGGATACCTCGATACGGACGATGACCCTGTCCAAAGCTGGATTGGAACTACGGTCATGCGCCTGGAGATGCTCGTCCGTCAAACCATGATGCCTATCGCTCTTATGGCCAGCATCGTGCGGATGTCTCTTGTCCGGGGGAGCCTGCGTCAAGCAATCGGGATTTTCGGGCCAGAGCAGCTTTGTCGTGATCGCCAACTGGAAACCAGAACTCAGATGTCTGTATCAGATAAGCGAATGCTACCCACTTTGCCTCCGGCGGGTGTGAACTTGACCGCATTGGACGCTAGGTTGTTTACGATTTGCCTCAGTCGCATTTCGTCGCCGACAACATATCCAGGCTCCTCCGGGTGTTCTTTCAATAGTCGCTCGATGATGGCAGGGTCTTCACCTGCCGCTGCATAGGTGGCTCGACGGGCAATCTGGTGAAGAGCATTGAATTCGCAAGGCATAGACGTAGCAGATTGCAACTGACCAAATCAATGTTTCTATCGAGGCTCGCAGTAAACTCCAGTTTTCTGGCATCCGTCGCCAGTTTCAACGGCACAAATAACGATCGCATGACTTGATGAAAACAATAGGGCTAAATAGCAGTTAGCACGGGTGGCACTGTACCAGTGACGGGTAAGCCCACTTTGGCCACCGACTCGAAGCGACCACTGTCCATCCGATGGAAGTCCAGCACGTCGTTCAGAACTGGATAACAGTTCGTCAGACGAGACGCAAATTTGCTGATTTGAGTCTACCTTTGGACATCATACTGAGACTGCCTTCGAGCGCCTTGAACTCAATTTCTTGCGACTTCTGTATGACGCCTGAGGCAGCCATGTTCTGCGTCGCAAGAACTGTTGCGGACATTGAGACAAGGATGTACAAAATTGGGTATTGGCATAACGCTTACGTGCAGTATTGAGAGGCACGCGAACTTCGTGAAACACATAACTTGAATCCCAATCAGCATACAATCCACGTCTAGTATGTTGCGACGCACGATGTTAACCGACGCTTCGAGTCTGACGCTTTGCGCTCGTTCACTTGTGCCTTCTGAGTTGCCCGGAATTGAATCTTGAGTTGATCTCGCAGAGTGTAGAGCCTTCTCTCAGCCTAAGATCATGTCAGTCCTGGAAATCGCCCTTCCACGGTTCAGCTTACATTTTCCCGCATGTAATGAATGTAAAGAAGGAAGCAGTGAAACACAAGCGTGTTTATCAAGTCTATATTTTTTAAATCAACACCGCGGCAAATCAACGCAAAACTGCCACTCACTCCGGTAGAATGTCGTTCGCACCGGCAATTGCAGCGCCGCAGAACTAGGCAAGAACTATGAGGGGCTACTATCTGCGAGATCGGGCTACGCACATGATGAAAAATGTCAATGCACCGAGGAGGAACGGAAAGCGCTTTGTCTGAAGACCGAATATTGCGATGGTGGGTATGGCACACGCATAACTAGTTTAACACGGGAAACATCAATGGACAGACATTTTGGGAATTGACAAACTCACTAGAAAGTGCCGACAAAGTCCTTCGTCCCGCAAGTGAATTCAGACTCCGAACGATCGTAGAATCCGCACAGAAATCTGCAATAGCTGTAAGTCGTGCATCCACGTCCACGTATTTATAGCAGCTACATAAAGAGGGACTGGTAAATAGCCCTGAGGTAGATGAGCGACTGAATGATAATACATAGCCATTGACATACCAGCACCAAGTGGCGAGAGATGTCCATACTTGATATATTTCCGGTCTGTCGCGGGGTATGTCGTACCTACCTCATCGTGCGTCAGATGACGCAATGCGACGGCAATTAAGCGTATACGCACATCACAAGCCCGACTACTGGAAATGTGAACGCCGGCGTCACCTGTCACAAAACGTCACAGATCGGCATACGCTGTTGGCGGAGAACGTACGCCATAGAAAAATATCTAACCTACATGTTAGAGGTCGCATATCATGAGAATGTAACATCGGCGCACCTTGTCAGCGAGCACCAGCGGTCTTGGTATGAATGCGACGGTAAGAACCCAGTTGAGGATCAAGAACCCCGAGGACCAGAGAGCCAGGCTCTGAAAAAAAAGTTTAATCATCGTTGTGCAACGCCTTATGGACTGAAACCAGGTGACCTTGCGCATGAACCAATATTCTTTAGCGTAGTTTCGCTCTGAGGCCGCGTCCAAAAACCTGAGAGAGAAGAAATCGAAAGTAGCAGGCCAGAGCCGCCAGCGGAGGAGCAGCCAGAGCGTGTGCGTTGGCCCGCCCGAGGCGTGCAGGTGCGCGAGGCTTTCTTGGTCGGTGCTCGTGCCAGGTACATAGCTACCAACCCTGTCGGCTTTCGCGTGGAGCCCCTGGTCGGACTGGGATACGACGGAGCTCTTGAGCTCGTCGCACCATGCGCGGTCAACCACCACCTGGAGCGTCATCAATACCCGTTTACGGTTTTTCGCACCCTCCCTGCGCAGTCAGCCAAACGAACCGACGACACGCACCTCGTCGACTTCGTCCTTCTCGGCCGCGATGCGTACCGATCCGGGGCCGGTGTGCGCATGACGGTGTCCGATGCTGCTGCCGCCCGTGCTGTCCTCTGGCGCGGTGCTTGTGCTAGGCGCCGTCCCTGTCCCGAGCCTGTGGCGAAAGCGCGCCCAGTGGACTCGCAGCCCACGGTCGATGCGCGCCGACTTTCTGCTGCGCACGCGCCTGCCATTGCTGTCGGTAGCCGCAGTTCGCGGGCCCGCGAGCGCGCTCTGAAGGATAGGCAGGGGAAGGCCAGCGTCTCTGTCTCGCTCCGCGCCGGGGTCGTCGGTGGGTGTCATGGGAATGTCCTCGGACGCCTTCGACTCCCTCGCGCGGCGGTGGGCGGGGGCGGAGGGCATATGGCGAAGGGACGGGGATCACTGAGACGTCGGTGACCGCCTGGTTGGCTGGGAGAGACGGGCGAGGAGGACGTGTTCAAGACGAAACCTGCATCCGGCGGAGAATTGTTAGTTGTAGTTGGGTGCGCCTTCCCCGGCGGCGTGTGCGAGTTTAGGGCTGGGCCGATCCGCAACAACGCGGGCGCGCGTGGGGACAGAAGCACGTCGCTTGGTGGCTCGCCTTGTCGTGACGTCATGTCATGTGATGTCCTCGAGAAGGCCGAGAAGTACCTGGGCCCTGTGCACTTGCCATTTCCGGACGTTCACCTCGCGTTCGAGACATACTGGCTGCACCACGCACAGGCATATCAGCGATCCAACAGCGTTTTGTCGTGCATATAGAGTCTCCAGTGCTCCTCCACTGCACCATGGAGTGGACCCTCCATTCCATCCGAGTAACAGCGCCGACCAAAAATAACAGCTACATCCAGGACGCTCCGCCCATGTCCTGCAGGCGAGCGAGACCTGGTCCGCGCCTATGAATCTAACCATGCCCCTTGACGCCGACGCTGCCCCACATGCTCCCGTGCGGCTCCAGCCATCTCCGCGCTGTCTCTGCGCAGACCGCTCGCGACCGTGGTGTCGATGTGCCGCCGCGAAAAAACGCCTCGAGGCTTTCCGTAAGCTCGCCAGAGGAGTCAGGAAAATCGAATCGTTGATAGGCACCGGAGACAAGTCTGCCGCTCCCGCGCTAGATCGTTTCGAATTGCGTCGGCGGACGCGACTGAAAGGTATGAATATTGCCAGAAGCGGCCGTCTCTTCCACCACGCATAGGCGCACGGCATCAGATCGCGCATTCGAGCGGCGGACGTCGGGCATTGCGGATCACACCAGATCAAATCCCACAGACCCCATTCAAAGAACCGACTCGCGCTCAGCCCGCTGTCCTCGAGCTGTCCGCGCGTACGCGACGTATTGCGCATCGCATCGTACCGAAGCGCGGCCTGTTTGTCAACGTAAAACCTGCAGGACCAAATGCCGCACTTTATGTAGACATCGAGTGTCACCGCGCAGCTCCCGATTCTCGTGCAACAATGGATGATGGCGTGTAATGTACACATGATGAACATAGGATGTGCAAGGAGATATCCCCCATCGACGACGATATTCTATATCAGACGCACCAGGTCAACTACCGGAGAATCGGAGACGAAGGAACGAGAAAACGTACGGTGCCATACGCGTACTGGTTGCAGGCGAGGTACAGCGCTGCCTGTGCCATATCCTCGTCGCGGCCGGGTCAGTTGCCCGGTATACCCTCAGCAGGGATTTGTTACTTGTTCTTATCGTCCGAGCTGTCCGCTACCTCCGTAGAGTCAGCGCACGGCTCTGTCAGCAGAAGCGGGCATACAAAACACCACCCGTCATCTTGCTCGGGAAGATGACAGGGCTGATCGCGTTGACGCGCACGTTGACGCCTGGTCGACGAAATTCCTGCGCGAGGAGCGTGTTGAGCTGCAGCGTCGCGGCCTTGGACACGTTGTATTTGAGGTGATGCTGCGACGAGTGGGTGAGGCCGGAAATGCTGGCCATGTTGATGATCGCGCCCGTGCGCGCCGGCTTGGACGTGGCGGCAGCGGAGAGCAGCGGCGCGAACGCGGGACGACATGAAAAAGTGGCCGATCACGTTCGTCCGGTGGGTGTTCTCCCACGTCGCCTGCTCGTCGCTGAACAGCGTCTCGCTCAGCTTTTCGGCGCTCTCGTCTCCGGCCTCGACGTTGTTCGTGCTCTCGCTGATGCCTGCGTCGTTGACGAGGACGTCGACCCACTTTTCTCTGCTGCTGACTTCCTTGACGAGGTTTCGAATGGAAGACTTGTCGGTGATGTCAACCTGGGTGGAGATGAGCTTCCCCTTGGGGTGAAGGAGGGAAGAGCCCCAGGTGTCGACGGCGTTTCGGAGGGTGTCGGCGCGATGCGACGCGACGTAGACGCGTGCGCCGTTGTTGGCAAACGGCTGGGCAATCATGAGGCCGATGCCCGTACCGCCTGTTGCCGCCGGTCAGTGTCGATGGGGGATAAGCCATCCGCGCGGCGGACCTCCGGAGACGACACACGCAGTCTTCGACGCTGAAGAGCTTGTTGAGCGCAAATTTAGCGTTTCCAGATGCCATGGTGCTGTTCGTGCACAAGGGTGTCTGCTGGGCTAAGATGGGCGCGTTCGGATTTGTTGCGTGCGGGGATGGCGCATTATGTCGAGGGAACGAGGTGGGGATCGAACATCACCGTTGGGTCCAGGGTCCAACTGGGCTCGAGTGATGTCGACGCTCGTCTCTGGGACGGGCATGGCGACTTCGAGCGACTTGTTTCGGGCGGTAGGCAACGGAGGCAGACGTGCAACCGGCAAAGGAAGAGGCGAGGACGGAATAGGACGCAGCGACCGCCGGGGCTAGACCGTCGACGCGTCGCTGACTGAAGAGGCAACGCTGCTTCCATCGACGTCAACGTTCTCAGGCACGGCTGCACCGCCACTAGATCAGTCCCTCCAGCTCAATCGACGGCTGCGGTTTTGTGCCCCTTCCTTCGCTGAAGGCGTCCATCCGTCCATCGCTGCTGCCGTCGCGTTCAGCCTCTGTGCGCACTTCCCGCCTCCCGACGCCCGCCGCCGCCGCCAGTAGCCGTGACGTCACTTGACGACCCGATCCCATCTCGGCAAATCCCATCGTGCGGAAGTTTGGCAAGTTGGCCGTCGCTCGCCGTCCACGACACCTGTAGACCACCCCCTCCCGCCCTCGTCAGCGCCGCCCCCTCGTCCGGATGGGGTCCGGACGCTCCCCTCGCCCTCCGTCCCGGCGAAGCACCCTTGGCCACCACCGCAAGTCCTCCAGCTTCGATGCCGACGCCGTCGAAGTCCTCGAGCTCCCCGTCCCCGTCCAGAGCGCCTCTGCCGTCAAAAAGAAGTCTGCCCGCATCCTCGATGGCAGCGGGCCATCCACCCCATGGACTCGATTCAAGCGACGACGACTCGGAACGGGCACCGCACCGAGCACGAGCAGCCTCCGTGACGAGAGCGGCACCGGGACCGAGTCCCTCGCCCGCGTGCGCACACACGTCGCCGACCCGGACACCGAGCCCGAGGACGACGCCGTGGACGAAGTCGTCGTAGACCGCGAGTGGCTGCACGAGATCATGACTTCCGTCGTCTCCCCGTCCGAGTCGGGCGCCGCGCTCGGCGCTGCTCCGCACGGTGGCGCTCCTGGCGGGACGACTGTCACGGACGCAGAGAGCGATGCCTACCATACCCATGGCCTATGGGGCTGTTGCAGTCCGCTGGTCATCCTCCGCTACCGCGTCTGGCCTGCCATCTTTGACTTCTTTTGCCTCCGCTTTCACGACGACAAGAGCGAAACGCAATACAAAAAGGAAAACTGGTTTATGCGCAAGGTGCGTGGACGTTGCCCCTCTTGCAACCGAACCTGTCTTGATGGATGGGTCTCTCAGTCACTCGCGGTGTGGTCCAGCCTTTTCCTTGTCGTCAACTGGGTCTTCGCCACCGCCTTCGACCCGCCTCCTCGTGCCCTTGCCGATGAGATATTCTACTACGGCGTCGAAACCGCCCTGACATTACCCATCCTCTTCATGGTCATGTACGACTGGCCGCGCGATCGACCGAAGCTCTACCAGATCTTCCTCAGTGTCCAAGTCTGGTCATGGTAGGTGGCTCACCAGAATATCAGAAAATGCGTGGCTAATTATATCACAATAGGTCGTTTTACCAAGTTGCCTTCATGTATGCCTGTGGCTTCTATCGCCATCCAGAGCGTCACACATGCGGCACGAAGGACTTCATCGGCACCTTCTAGTGAGCGGCGACGTTCCATCCAGCTTTCTCTTCTCTCATCAGGCCCGCCCTAGTTATACCACAGCAATACCGACGATAGCTCTGTTCGGCCTCAAACTCAATCGCTTTCCGATGATGCTCGGCGCCGTTGCGTTCTTCGGCGTCTCTTCCGCACTCGTGCTACCGTTCAAGACGACTTGGTATCGCAGTGAGCAATATCGCACCTTCGAATGGCTGTTCTCCATCTCAGTGACCCACAGACCTTCTCAACTTTGCCTTGTTCCACGTCTTTCTCCTTTACGTGCACTATATGCGAGAGAACGTATGTCGGTCCTGCCGCTGAAAAGTACGCCGTTGACCCCAGCGAATAGGCCGAACGACGACTATACACGCTTCGAGACCAGCTAAAGGTCCAGTTCAAGGCAACGCAAAAGGCGCAGGTCAACGAACGCAAGACGGCGGACTCGAAACGTCGATTAACATCGTGAGCTATCAGTCAACCATGAGCTCGTCATCGAGTATATCTAAATCGAGAGATCAGCTACGTCTTCCACGAAGTCCGCGTTCCCTTGAATACCGCTCGTGAGTGCATTCGGCGGTGTCTCCGCGAGGCGTCTTTGACAATGATGATCTGGGACAGTCCTCGCCACGCAGAACATTGCGGCGTCTGGGAGCATCCAAAAAGAGGTGGAGATTGAGTTCAAGGCCCTCGAAGGCAGCCTCAGCATGATGTCTAAAGGTGAGCTCTGCTCGAACCTTTCCGTCATCTCATCTCACGCACAACAGTACTGAACGACGTGCTCGATTTCAATCGAATGGACTCTGGCCGCTTCGAGTCCGTTCACAAACCCTACCGTTTCCACGAGACGGTTAATTCACTACTCGTTCCACTACGATTAGCCACCGATGCCCGAGGTCTTCGCCTTGTCACTTCCCTCGACCCGGCCGTCGACCGCGCCGCGCGCCGCGCGGCCTACGAGGCGATGGGCTACGATCCCGCCACGGTCACAAAGATGATCGAAGAGCACCCAGACGAGGACGGTGTCGTCGTTGGCGATGAGATGCGCCTCCGGCAAATCATCACCAATCTATCCAGCAACGCATGCAAGTTCACACCCACGGGGGGCACCGTAAGCGTCACGACCAAGCTGCTCTGGCCTGCCGGGACGCACACCGACGCAGGCACAACCCCATCCGAGACTGTAGTCGGCTCAGTCTCGATGGTCTCGCCGCTGTCGTCGAAAGTCGACCCGAGCGTGACACCGTCCCCACGCAGGACGTTGGACGAGAAGCACGTTGCCCGTGCGACGAGCTATCTATCGGCTGGGATGCTCGATAAGCACAACAAACAGCTTGGGGGGAACCAGGGCTTGAGCGACCAGATCATTGTCAGGATTGAGGTGACGGACACTGGATGCGGGATCCAGAGCAAGGACATGCTGCATAACAAGCTGTTCTGTGAGTGCCGACTTTGCGTGCCAGTCATTCGTGCTGACGATGATGTGGCAGCTGCGTTCAACCAGACCGAGATGGGCCGACAACAGGGCGGCAAGGGCACTGGCCTCGGCTTGGCGCTCGTCAGGCAAATCGTGAAGAGGAGCGGGGGCCGATTGGGTGTACGCTCCAAGGCAGGCCAAGGATCGACGTTCTGGGTGGAACTTCGTACGTGGTCGCCTCGAATGCGCGTATGTCTGAGCTCACGCAGCGCCGCAGCATTGGGTGTTGGACCCAAGGCACTTGAACCAAACCACCAGCTGGACCATTACTTGGCGTCGCCATTGAGTTATCCCGTCGCGAAGAACCCACGACCGAGCGCGCGTACGAATGACGGCGATCACTCGCGTTCCACTATGAACACCCTCAGTAGCATCAGCGCTACCGAGAACGTTTCGCAGCGCGAGCGCCCACCAAGCTTTGCCAACTCGGCCTCCGCACTGCACGGTATTATGGACCAGGGCGGGCTCGTCGAGCTACGCTCACCCGGTGACAATGGTTCGACGACGTCCGTCCCGACGCGCACGATCGGCGACCCGTCCACGGGCACCGCTCCCGCGCAGAGGACGCCGCCGGAGATACATGCTCCCGTACCTACCGCGGCCGAGAAGTCCGCGCTCGTGGAAGAGTCGTCGTCGCAGACCGTCATTCCTACCCGCCAGACGCGGCCGCGGTCCATCGAACTTCCGCGGCGCACGCCCGCGTCACTCGGCCAGGGCGGCGCACTGTCTCCCGTGCCCTCGGTGGGCATCGAAGGCATTCCAGACGCCCTACACGAACGCGGCACATCGGCGCCAGAGCCTGCCGCGAGCCCGGTCTCAAGCCACAGTCAGGCATCGGAGACGTTTGACCCGGGCCTACACGTGCTCATCGTCGACGACGACCCGCTCACCCGCCAGCTCATGCGCCGCATGCTTCAGCGGCTCGGCTGTGTCGTGTCTACCGCGGAGAACGGTGAGGTCGCGCTCGAGCTGCTTCTGGGATCGGGCTACCCCCGCCCCACGCCATCGGATGAGGGCTCGCCACCGTCAGTGCGCTCGCAGCCCGGGGCAGATCAATCGAGCGAGCGCGAGGGCGCGTACGCGGTCGTGTTCCTGGACAACCAGATGCCGGTGTGTTCAGGTCTCGAGGCGATCGCGCGACTGAGGAGCGCAGGCAGAAGGGATTTCGTGGTGGGCGTCACGGGGAACGCGTTGCTGAGCGACCAAGACGAGTACCTGGACGCGGGCGTGGATCAGTGAGTATTGCTTTTGATCGTCTTGACGTTCACAGTGGCTGATGTATCCTGCAGGGTGCTGACGAAGCCCGTGCTGGAGAAATCGTTGAAGAGCATGCTGGTCATGGCGTCGCGGAAGCGTCGCAAATCTTAATCACCTATGCATCCACTTACGACGATCTGCAATTACGTACTGTATTTCCCCTACATCTATGATTTGTATACTAGTGCTCAATATTTGCCCGCGATACTCACTACAAGATCGGACCCAGCATCTCATCCATTCATTTTGTAGAATATATATCTCCGTCTTGCAGATAACCCTTGGCACGGGCGTGGCTGTGCTGCGATCGATGACGGCGTCGATGCAACGTCGTTCATGACATTGAAAACGAGCGCCTGCCTGACGTGCTGTTTGCTCCTCCTTGCCCTGCTACTGCGTCAGCCGATATCATCGGTTCATCATAGCGACCCATTAACAATGGCCACCATTGCGCCGCTTCGGTCGTTAATAGTCTCGCCCGCGGCCAAACATACGGCAACGGTCATCTTCGTGCATGTTCGCAACATTTAGCTATCCTATAGGCTATCTGTCACGATGTTGAAACGACCAACTAGGGTTTGGGCGACACTGGTCATGGCTGGGAACCGGTGGCCAAGATGCTAGCACCCAAATTACCACACGTGAAGTGGGTGCTGCCGCATGCGTGAGTGTCGAAGACAGATTCATGCTCGAAGAGTTGTGTTCAGACTGCGCCTCGGAACTCAAGGCCGACGATCTCCATCACAGCTAACATGGGGATGCTTATGCCTGGCTGGTTTGACATCAAGTCCTTTGACTTTAAGACCGCCGAAGACGAGGCGGGGATGATGAAGACCGTCCACTCGTTGAATCAGCTTATCACAGCCGAGGTTGACGGCGGGATTGACGCCTCGCGGATCGTCCTCGGGGGGTTTTCGCAGGGAGGTGCGATGACGCTGCTTACCGGGCTTACGGGGGAGAGAAAGCTTGCAGGGCTGGTCGTGCTGAGTGGATGGCTCCCGCTTCGCAACAAAGTGCACACAGTAAGTAATCGCCTTTTCAACCTGGCTTTTGATGATTTATCTGCGCATAGATGTTCTCCGACAAAGCCAAGGAAGCGCGCATATTCTGGGGACACGGTGAGGCGGATCCGCTCGTAAAGTACGAGTACGCGACAGCGTCAAGGGACTTCCTCAAGAACCAGCTGAAGATGGAAGTCACCTCGGGGCCCGAGTTGAAAGGCTTGAGTTTCAACACTTACCCTGGACTTGAGCATTCTACGGCTCCACAAGAACTGAGGGATATGGTAGCGTGGTTGGAGAAGGCCTTACCGCCTTCATAATCCTGTTGCGACATGCGTGTTAGGAGCGTAGCTTATACAAGAAGTCGAACTGTATCAGTCATAGATGGATGCATCATTCGTATACTAGTCCAAAGATGCAGCATGCTTAAGCTTTCAAAGGAACTCCATCTGAGTCCGCCCGCGCGTCAGCGACGCACGCGCAGCTTACGTTGAGCAGCTTACGCCCATTGACCTTTCTCACTCATCTTCACGCAATGCGATCTCGCATAAGGACCCAGTTGCTCAAGCACGGATGGTTGTCCACCATATAAAGCGCAGAATCATCGCGGCTTTGTTACCAGTGCTCTTGGCTTTCTGGTGGCATCGATCGTTACTTGATTTCCTGAATAATCTGAACCCAACGTTCGAACACACCATGACATCGCCCCCGCAACTCAAATACGTGACAGTTGAACCCTCCGCGGTGCACACGGCATCGTTCATTCTGGTTCATGTTCGTAAATCGATTCTTCTGTTAGTGCACCAACTAATTGGTGCATAGGGCTTGGGTGACTCAGGCAATGGCCTGAAGCCTGTGGCGGAGAGTATTTCACGCAACTCGGCCTTGTCCCATATCAAGTGGATTCTTCCTAACGCGTATGCTATGTCCCTTCAACACCTTCCGGACATCTACGAGATTGATACACTAAAACGATGCCTTAGGCCGGTGCGTCGGGTGACTGTCAACCGAGGGGCTTTAATGCCTGCATGGTACGGGCCGCCTCGCTTCACTACGTCCAAGCGGATCTGAGACGGTGGTTCGCATTAGGTTCGATATATTCCAATTTGGATCGACGACACAGGAAGACGAACAGGGAATGCAAGAGACCGCGCAATCACTGAACGAGCTCATCTCCGCTGAAGTGGCAAATGGCGTGGATCCCAGTCGGATCGTCCTCGGGGGCTTCTCGCAGGGGGGTGTGATGACGCTGCTGGCGGGGCTCAGTAATGAGAGAAAGCTGGGCGGGCTCGTTGTGCTCAGCGGTCGGGTGCCGCTGATGGGCAAGTTCAAAGACGTGAGTGGTCGTCGTGTAAACATGGGAACGACTGAATGAACGCGCCGGCACGTAGTTGGTTTCGTCTCATGCGACGGAGGTCCCGATCTTTTGGGGCCATGGAACGGAGGACCCAGTGGTCCGCTTCGATCTAGCGCGGAACGGCGTGCAATTGTTGCAAGAGCTGGGTGTCAAATCCGCGTCCCCCGGCGACGGTGGCAACGGCGGTTTGTCGTTCCACGCCTACGAAGGCCTCGGGCATTCACTGAGTGCCCAAGAGATCGAAGACCTGAGTAACTGGCTTCAGAGAGTTGTCCCGGCGAAATGATGTCCCGAATGGGGAAATTGCATGTATCAGTGCGCTCACGATGGAGTTTTCGGGAGTGCCCATTATATCCAACGAATTTGTTTCATATGGAAGTTACGGGTGCATGTACGTGTGCGAATGGAGAACTTGAGAGTCAGACACCGCTGGGCGCGGTAAGCCCAGTGAACCGGTGACGTACGTGTCCTTCATCTTCCGCCGCACTCGAATCGCACCTCTCTTCGAACCAACGCCAACCATGCATACGTCTCCAGCACCTATACCCGGAGAAACTCACAAGCCCCCGACACCACCACCCGCATATACCGTCGATGCCACTACGCCCTCTGCCTCCTCTGGGCTTGGTACGGCACCACGATCGGGGAGCCCGTTCGGACCTACGCCGCTCACAGGACAGCCGCCATCCAGACCTTACTACGACCCGGAGAGCCAGTACGCGGTTGACCAAGCAGACAGACGAGCACAGCGGCGATTTATTGCTGCATTGTTCTGGGCGGTGGTGATATATCTTGTGCTCGGGGCATTGGCGGGGTCCGGTTACGAAGCAGGGTGGTTATGAGCAGCGCCGAAGTTGGGGTGGACGGATGATCTGCACAGGCCGAGTGCTGTATTTTGGGGAGAGCTTGCATGAACTGCGTACGTATGGCATCGATAGGATAATACGAGTAAGATTGCGTGACCGGGGTCGATATGTAGTATACCATCGGACTGAAACCGCGTATATATGTAGCCTAGGCCGAACTGCATGGAACCCAATTTCCTTTCTTCTTGTCGGCGACTCGGATTGGTCGGCGGAGACAAGACTTTTCTCGTGTCACATTTTACCACCGAAGGCGGTTGCCAACACGCGGTGACGACGACTCTTGCGTCGTTCTTGTCTGACTCTCCGTCCCTTGTCCTTGCCCTTCACTTTCTTCCACATCCCCCGCTGATCTCCCTGCTCGAAGGTGCTCTTTAGTTGTAGCCAGCGACGCCAGATGGTGCAGCAATCTCTGGCGGTCCCTGGCTCATGGCGAGGCTTCGAGCGACGGCGCGAGCACATCGACCACCGACTGGCGTGCCACGAGCGCTGGACAAAGGCCCGATGACCGTGCAGTAGGTGGCGGTGCAGCCGCCTGCCCTGTATGGAAGACCGTGCGGCCTTCTTCCCCTTTTCGGCACCGCCCTGTTTGGCCTTGCTTACGAATGGTCCGTGCGTGTGGGAGCGCGCTGGGGAACCAACGGGGGGAAATTGTGACTGCTCGTCGCGTGTCCGGCCCCGCCGCTTCCCTCACTCCATCACCTCGATCACACCCTCCTCGCTCGTCGTCCGTCACAACGACCGACCGTCCTTCCTCATCGTCTCTGACGACGACGGCGACCTCTTCGTAATTTACCTCCGCATCTCTTCACCTCGTTTCCGTCGTCCCGCTCGTTCTGCTTTGCCCTCAACCGCCGTATTAATCTCCGGTCGTCCACGCGTCGCGCATCTCCGAGTGCCCGTCGTTGGGCGTCTCAACCTCGTTCGTCGACCATCCAGCTGCTATCAGTGCCTCTGTATCTCTAGCGACACCAACCCGCTTCGATCTTTCCGCGTTTGTCGCCGATTGAGCTGCTGTGCGCATCCCCCTGTGCACTCGCATCATCACCCCATTGTTCCCTCAGTCATCTAAACTTATTCAAGCTGGCGACTCCGACTGTCCTCCGACGTCCCCAGGTGCCCGTGGGGGTTCGTCGCACCGACGAAGAATTCATCAATCGCTCTCTGCTAGACAGCCTCGACGCTCAGGCTGACGCGGAGCCCTTATCGACATCAGACTCGGAGGCCCCCGCGCAGCACCCCAGCTCTGCTTCGACTTCCTCGTCCATTGGTTCGCCTCCCATTCCCTTCCAGCGCAACGTGCATCCCCTCTCCGCCGACACCAACAATATGCTGCCAAATCCCATAAAACCCCCTCACCTAGCCGACTCGTTCAATCAAGTTCCCCCAAACGTCAACCAATCATTGTATCATAGCCTCCATGCCCATCCCGACTTCAGTAACATACCCAACGACAACGATACACAGAAACACCAGGATAAATCGAATCAGTACACGTCCGGTCCTTTCAGCGCCGGCACCACCTACGGTGCCTTCAGCAATCCCCGCTCTCGTCATACCCTCGCTGGAGCCAACTCGCTGGCTTACCGCGATCAACAAGCCCCTTTGCGTCAAGGATACGACCTTGGCCAGCCTTCATCAATCAACTCGCTCGCGGCTTTACAGTCGCAATCCCCACCGTCATCGCAAGGCGCGTTCGAGACGCTCCATCCCCAACGCATGCACGACTATGGCGTACAACTCTCCGGACACAAGTCCTATCCCACGTTGGACACGTATGCCTCTGGACTTGGGTCCTCCATGTTCCCGCCGGGGGTCAAACATGGTTTGCTGCCCAACGGGCACGGCCTAACGCAACCTCGTAACTTCCAAAGCGGCCCGCAATACCATTCACAGACGCCTTTTGGACCTCATCTTCCTGCGAACGGCTCTGCAGCAGGAGGGTCGGTGTTGTCTGCCCCCACAGTGTCCCATGTCAGCGGAGGTCAAGGTTCCTCCCAAGAGGAGATCTCGACGATATTCGTCGTGGGTTTCCCCGACGACATGCAGGTATGTTTGTCAGGTACCAAGTGTTCGGTATCTCGCTGATGATTCGATGAATAGGAACGCGAATTCCAGAACATGTTCACCTTCTCCCCGGGATTCGAGGCCGCGACTCTGAAGATTCCCAACAAGGAACTCACTGCGTACGGCTCCGGCGTTGGCCCGATGCGCCCTAGCTACTCGCAAGGTTACCAAGGCCCGAACGATCCATACAACCTCGTTACCGTCAATCAGGGAGGTGTCGTCGTTGACGGCGGTCGTGACGGTACGACTGCCTCGTGGCCGGCGGCGCCGACCCACGACGATAGTCACTTCGTGCAATCAGGCGCGACGATGCCACCTCGCAAGCAGATTATTGGCTTCGCGAAGTTCAGCACTCGGTCGGAAGCGCTCGCGGCACGTGATGTTCTCCAGGGCCGTCGCGTTGATGCAGAGAAGGGCGCGGTGCTCAAAGCGGAGATGGCGAAGAAAAACTTACACACCAAGCGCGGGGTCGGGCAAGCATCTCTCCCCGGAATGACCTCGCTACTGCAGGGTTCGGGGATGACGACAGACATGCTCAATAATGGGCTTGCGGGTCTTGGCTCCCCTACGTCAGCTGGTGAAGCTCTCAGCGCCCGCGATCGCGAACTTGGACCGCTTGGGACGATGGGGATCGGCAGACGGGACCGCTTCATGTCGGGGGATGAGGACCCCGGTCGTGACGGTCGTCGCAGCGACCTCATGGGGATGATGTCTGGTCTGAACCAGTACAACACCCGGGGACCTCGCGAACGCGCTGAAGATGACGAGCGCGAACGAGAGAGAGCGAAGAGGGAGCTGCGCCTGAGACAGGCGAACTCCTCCGCCTACGAGGCTTTCCACTCTGTGCCTTCCCACCTTGTTCGCAGCCCCGATGCGGCAATGGCAGAGAACGGCGCTTCCTACAACGGACTGAACGCGCTCTCTCATTCCCTCTCGGACGGCACAGGGATGAGCGCTCCGTCGAACCCATGGGGTATGCCTACCCGTGAAGCTATGGCCAACGGTCTCAACGGCATCGCAGCGCGGCGGCAAGCTATGCCCTTCAGCTCTTACCCGCAGCGTCCGCCCTCAGCGTCCCAATCCTCCGTTCCCGACCAGGACATTTTCCCGTCCACCGCATCGCGCTCAACGTCCTCCTCTCAGAGCGGTCTTTCCGACCCGGAGCATACGCCTCACACCAATCCCGATGCTGCCCTTTCGCCACCGACCGATTTCTTCCTTCCCATGGGGGTCTCACGATCTCACGGACGTTCTCCGTCGACGGAATCACAGCAGCTCCACGACGATCAAATTCAACCACTGGATGCCAGCGGAGCCGGCCCGCAGATGGGAAATGAGCAACAGATCACACACGCCATGTCCGACCTCGCTATCGGAACCGAGACTGGGTCAACTTCTCCCGACCTGCCCTCTCCTACGTCGAACGCGAGTTCCGGCAATCGCAACGCCGCCGACCAGAACCCTCCGGTGAGTTCACGCACTCTCACAGTCGCGTAACAAATATACGTGCTAACATGATCGCGAAGATCAATACGCTCTACGTCGGCAACCTCCCCGCGTCGCCGACGCAAGCTGGCTATCCCTCAAGCCATCTTGAAGATGGTTTACGCGATTTGTTCTCGCAACAGCCGGGGTTCCGTAAGCTGTGTTACCGACAGAAGAGCAACGGACCGATGTGTTTCGTCGAGGTACGTATATATGATTGATGGTTTGGACACATTCTCAAAGCCGACTTGTAGTTTGAGGATGTCTCTTATGCCACCAAAGCTCTCAACGATTTGTACGGCAACACTGTCAACGGCCTCGTGAAGGCTGGTGGTATCCGACTCTCCTACAGCAAGAATCCGTTGGGTGTTCGAACCCCAACGAGTGCAACACACGGGTCGAATTCTGGCTCTCCATTCCAATCGGATGCCTTCCTCCCGAGGTCGTCCGCCGTCGATATGGACGCCACGCCACGGCGCGACACCATCGGCTCGTCTTATTACCAGGCAATGTCGACGCAGCCTCCGCGTTTCTCCGCCGGCCCTTCGTCTTCCATCTTCGGCGTTCAGAACGCTCAGCCGACATTCCCTCGTGGCAATTTTGGTCCCGGTCCCGGCAATTTATCCACGTCCTTCTCTCCCTTTGGCATATCATCGTCCCCGCGACCAATACCCGACGCCAATAATAATGAACCGAACGACCACCTCGTCGCCTCGATTTCCGCCCTGACATCCACGTAGAGGTTTTTCAAGACGCATAACCAGCATCCATATGTACTACTTAACTATGTCATATCCACCCATTCTCCCCATTTCGGGTTTCCTATGTTACTTTCGGACGCACCATCCTTCGGCCCTTCGCATGTCATATCACTGTCCTATTATTGCGCCCAACATCTGCAATCGCTCCCAACCCAACCATACTACTCACAATCTGCTTTGCGCTTCGCTTCCCTTTCTCAGTTTGCATATCAACGCTTCCGTCCTCATTTTCCCGTCGTACAAGATGTCTACTGTATACTACTCTTGTTACCTAGTTCGCGCTTGCGTCGGCTGTCACTTCACCGGAACTTTCTCCTGGGGGGGTCTCGAGATTCCTCTATTGTCCACGATATGCATATAGACCTTAATGACAGCGAGTTGCAATCGATACAGCAGCGTGATACACGAAAGAGCAGCATAACAAGTCCTGTTGGTAGAAAACATGCAACATTCCGAATAATTAACCGCAGTCCCCGTCTTTGGGACCGGGATTTGGTGAATCCGAAGGTGTTTGTGGCGATCCGGTGGTCAAAGCTTTCCCGACGGAGCCCAACTTGACCTTGAACTTTTTGGGCTGGTGGTCCTCGCCTGGCTTCGGCGAGGCGGGTCGAGCGGCGTCCGTCGAGTCCGAGCGCTGTAAGCTTGGTCGCTTGACTTTTGATATGCGCTCGAGCAAGCCGTCTTCCTCCTCTTCGTCTCTTCGCCGTTTACCGCTCAATCCGGAGGGTAAAGGCCCCATCAACGGGGTCATGAGCTTCTCTGCGAGCATCTGCGGGGATGTGCTTCTTTCCAGAAGCGAATCCTGTGAGTCGTCCTCATCGTCCGACGAATTGGGTTTGGGGGATCGTTTAGGGGAGGCCGCTTGTCTGTGAGACAGGCGCGGGCTGGCAGAGGCGTCGGTGGGGGATGACGGTTGCTGGGGGGAGCCGATGGGCTGGAGGTTGCGGTGGGGGGAGGAATTGGCGGAGGGGCGGAAGGGGCTGGCTTCGCCGTTTGGCGGCTGCTCGTCGTCGTCGTCGTAGTCCACCAGGCTTCCTAGAGGAGGCGTGGGTGGTGTGGGTGTCGCAGGACGGCCATGGCGCAAGGCCGCGGCGCCTCGCGGGCGCTTGCGCTTGAGCGTGCCGATGATGACGTTGGTTTGCCATCGAGGAGGGGTTGAGGTTGTCGGGAGATCGTCGTCGTCGTCGGCGTTGAAGTAATCCTCTTCTTCCGCGTCCATCACTTTGCCCTGCCCCCAGGTTCTGGAGTCCGGGGTAGGTCTAGGTAATCTCTGAGCACGGTGGCGCATATGGCGAGGCCTGTACACGTACTTCTCAACTTTCGCCTCCTCCGGTGGTGGCGGCTCGTTGTTCATCTCCCAACGACGGATGAACATCCTGAAGCGAGTGCCCCCGAGGTGCGAATCGGACAGCGTCCGAACTTCCTGCTCGTGTTTAGTCATACACTGAGCTATGAGATCCTTGATGTTCTCCTGCGAAAATCCCATGAGGTCGATACACGGGGATAATGAGGTAACATACCCGTCGGATATGTTCAAAGAATTCTTGACACGACGAACTGAGCAAGTTGTCCCGCCGCGATTCCCGTATTGTCAAGTCAAGGATAGGTTTGACCACGTCATGTTTCATTAGGTGGTTGATGAGGTTGCGGTTATTGAGTTTAAGGCAAACTCGGAAGAACCGGAAAGCAGCTATGGACCGTCGTTATGGGGTACTGAACGATGGGCAGAGAACATCAAGAACGTACCCAGCCGTAGGTGTTTATCCCTGGCGCTCAGCAATGACGCGACCCGAGGAGAAACGTTGGACGAAAGAACAAAAAAGTGACTGCGGAAAGAGTGTTGCTGTGCGAAGTTGCATAACAAGTCGCAAAGATAAAGATATAGGTTGGTTTTCTCCCTTGTCAAGGGAAGGATTGGATCTGCAACCCTTGATAAATCCTGCACTTGAATGAGGATGAGAGATGTGCTCACCGGTGAGGCCCTTGAACTCGGGTATGTCCCCGAACGGCTTGAAGAGCGTCTCGATGCATTGCTTGTAGAAGTAGTCCATGAACTTCTCCGTGCCAGGGTCGTCCTTCGCCCTCGAGAGCATCTTCACCGCAACGGCCGGCTGTTAACGCATAATCAGCATGGCCACCAACAGACAAAGCCCAAGCAACGGACGTGATTGTCGCCGTCCTGAGAGATCTCGAGCAGCACCTTGAGCGCATCCCCTACCAAGCTCTGAATCGCGAGGTCGCGACTGGCCGCCATGATCCTGCACACGACCAGCAGCACCGTTTCTACCGGCCCCTGCAACGCCGCGTTCGCGTTCGCGCCTCCAGCCGCGGTGGCAGCAGCGCGTCTCCTCTCCGCTGCCTGCACCTGCTTCACGACGTGACCCCGCACGCCGTTGAGGTCGTGGTCCAATAGCGTAGATAGGATCTCTCCTCCGGCAGTAACCATCGCACGTCCGTGCTCCTCCCGCTCGCTGCACGACAACGCCCACTGTACGGCGCAGAGCACGCCGCGATCGACGAGTGTCCGGAAGAGCGCCATGCGCTGTGGGAGCTGCACGTTCTTCCCCATCGCACACAGGTGTTGCACGAGAAGAATAACCTCTCGCCTGCGTTGCGCCTCCGCCTCGGGCGAGAGCGGCTCCGATGTGGTTTCGTCTGGCGCGGACGAGAGCCCGTTGGTGCCGTTCGGCTCCGTCTTCACAGTCACACCCTCGGCCGTCTTTGTGATCGTCGGTGGCGGCGGGCCGACGATGTCGGCCATGTCGCCTTCAACGAAGAGCTTGACAACGTCCCTGAGGAAGTATGGGTCGTTCTGGACGTAGTTGATGATGTCAATCTGGTTGAAGACGATGCACGAGTTAAGCACGTTGAACGTGGCGTCGTCGATCGCGCGAGCGAGCACGACGTCCTTCAAGAACTGAAGGCGGTACGTATGGTGCACCTTGCGCTGAATAGCGGGGTCGCGGATGGTGACGGGTTGGTGGAATTGTGTAGTGGAGGTAAGGAATTCGCGGTAGTTCGCTTTGTACGAAGGGAACTCGGGGTCGTCTAGCAAAGGTCGTCAGCATCAGTGGATGTAAAAATAACACGTGCATACATTCGAGGATCCCAATGACACCGAAGAATAGTTCGTCATCCAGGATGTGCTCGAAGAGGGTATGGTCGTTTAGGAGTACTAGATTGGCGTGAGATAGTCACAGGTCGCCAGCACAATGTCACGCACGCAGAGTTTGCATAAGGCCACATAACGCATGTAGATTTTCCAAACTCTCGAGGTCTTCGCACTGGTTGTACAGGTCGATCATATGCTTGACGTAACCCTGTGCAGCTGTGAGCACCGGGATTGATGCATCTGCGATGGATTGGGGCACGCACCTCTGATTGTACATGCTCGACCACACGCTCTCTGAGACTTGGTGTTCGTGCAAGGGCCTTGATAGCGCGGTCGATGTCTTCGACGATACCTATTTGCGGCAGTGGTAGTCGTCCCGAGCGGATGATGCTCGTTGTTGTGATGGAAGGCTCAGGTCCAATGACCGGCGACGACGTAACGAGCTGGTCGTCTAACATAAGACGGCATAGAGGTAAGCTTTCGGAGAGAAGTGCGATAGAGGAAGACGCACTGGGATCGTTCATCATGCGCTGAACTTCGAGGATGAAGTTCCAGACCTCGGCGCAGCCTTCTGGATCCTGGAAGCTCAGGGCGTAGTCGGCACCGTCGGGCTCGGTCCAGACGATAAGGGTCTCTGCAGGACGCGACGGTCAGTACGATGTATGCCAGTCGAGCAGGATGCAGACGAGAAGGTTGCCAGGCAAGGACGTGGAATGATGATCGTCTGACTTATCAAAAAATCGCCGACTCATTGCACAAGTGAGCAAACAGCAGGATGTACGAAACGCTCCTGATAAGCCAGAAATAGACGATACAAGGGGTTTCGACAGGGTCGGGTAAAATGAATTAAGGGCCTTGGACATACCTTGCTGCCGCTGATAGACATCGTTCGAACGAATGGTAGTGGTCAGGATCACGTTGTTATAGTCCGCCTCCGAGCGAGCGATCAGAAAGGCTTCGTTCGTGTTCTCGTCGAAGTGGCCGGAGCAGAACGCGGTGCCCTGATCAACCCAACGCGCGCCGACGAGCTCGTAAACCTACGCTATACGTGAGCGGCTGTCACCCTGTGGACAGCTCCGGACCGGGGCGCACCTTGACGCGCTTCATCTCGTGGTTGTCGCCCTCGGTCCAGTCGTCGCTCTCGTCGCTGGCGGACGTATCGCCCGAGCCGCCCATCCCCTCCCCGCCGACCTCGAGCACGATAGAGCCCTCCGACGAGCCTTCCTCCGCAGACGTGTCCATCGCACCAGCAGCCGCGCTGGGGACGTCGTCGGTCCCGACCTGCTGCCCTTGGACCTCCGCCGCGCCCGCCTCCTCCGCCTCGCCTGCAGCCTCATCCTCCCGCGAGGGGTCCTTCGACGTTGGCTTCGGCTCGGTTGGCGGCGGGAGCTGCTGATCGGACGCGGGCTCGTGTAAGGCGGGTGGCGAATGGTCGGCCTCGTTGTCGCTCATGGCAGCGAGCTCGGAACGCCCTGGCCAGGGAAATGGTTGTGATTATAGAGGACCGCTAAGGACGTCAATGTATGCCGATGTGAAGAAGCAGGCGCGCGGTACGGTAAACGCGTGGCACAGGATTGAAACCGTGCGAACGAGGTCAACAACCGCAATTTTCCAGGCGCCGCGTTCGTTCCTCGACCGAGCTTGTTCCTCGTCTTTCCTCCCGTCCTCGAGCACAGACAAGCAGCCCGTCGCAGTAGGCTGCACCGCCGCTCGCCACCGCACCCGGTCTCAGTCTATCCAAGCGCGATCGACCAGGAACAACGCTTAGAGCTCAACGCCAAAGATCCGAGTTATCTGAGATCTGATCGCTACAGATCATGCACTTCAAATACATCCATGGCCACCCCCGGGCTGCAGCTCTTTGTGCCGCATATTTGATCCGGCTACGCCTAGGTCGAACTTGTGGCGCGAAGAAGGTCGGCAAAGCGCAGCTGCACCTCACCTTACCTCCTTGCAATTGCCGTAACTGACCAGAGATCATTGTATGGTATCGGCACCAAAAGACTACCCATCCTGCTCCACTGCGGGGGCAGACGTATACTTGTATTGCTGCTACCTCAGGTTTCGGTTCTCGCCTTCGCAAGCGGTTGACCACCAAATACACGCATCCGGGACTTCATCATGCACGCCGTAACCGTGCTCGGAATGAATCCCGGGCATGCATTCTCCGCATACAGGTTCAATCAACTCAATGGGCATTCGGATCGTGGTGGCGGTTCTACCGTATGCATCCCGGCAACTTCCCTCTTCTTTCATACGGCACTGTGCACCGATGTCTTGACTATTAATGGACCGTCGTTCTATGGGATTTTGTTGCTCATACTTCGCTGCCACATGTACAGCGCTCGAGTGATGCCAAGGCGATGTCGTATCGTGGGTCCCGAGTGTACATATACCGAGAGGATGGTGGTCCTGCGTTGGTAAACGCGACGACTTGGAGCACCTCTTACTCGTAACATCTCCGGGGCTACCTGTCATTAATGATCCTCGGTATAGCGTTATATCGCGAGCTCTGCGTGATCGGCTGATGCATGCCCTCAAAAACCGTGCAGGCTTGCAATTGAGCTTACGATGATAAATGCATCGTTTCACTGTTTATAGGCGCATAAGAAGCATATCGTCTTCGGATTGATCTCCGTCAACCATATCTTATAGCGGCAGTAGATTGATGCCATATACTGAGAAGCGCCGTCGGTGGCACGCGCGAAAGGCCGAGACACCTCGGATGTCTTGGAGAACTCCCTGGACATCTGGACTCAAACACTTCCTGTGCAAGTACTCGTCGAGATTCGGTCGCACAGATCTTAGGCATACCTTCTAGCTCGTTTGCTCGTATCAGCGAGCTGGTGTCGGTGGTAACTAACTCGGCGTTAGTCAAGGGACGAGCGTAATATCAAGGCGCTATGTTGCCGCCGCAGCCCACCCCTATTGCGTTCCCGCCCAGGCCGACGCCGCACTTTTGCCCCCTCATCCGCTCTACCTTCCTCCTCGATCGCCTTCCGCGGACCCTTCCTCCTCGATCCCCGCACCATAATACATAGACGCTCTCTAATCCCAGCCGCTCCTTCGCTTACACTTACCCACACCTGCACTACCATGGCCCCCCTCACGGAGAAGGACCTCGAGCAAGTCGAAATCTCCCCGGAGCCGAGCTCGCGCCCCTTCCTTGCCCGCCTGTCTCCCAAGGACGAGCGTGACGATCCAATCGACTCGCCTTTGCCTTCACCCGCTGTCGCTGCTACTCCTCGGTCGTCCAAGCCCCAGCTGTCGGCAACGACGATCATCCCCGTCTGGATCGCGCTCAGCTCGGCCGTCATCATCTACAACAACCACATATACAATACCATAGGCTTTAAGTATCCTGTATTCCTCGTGACATGGCATCTCACGTTCGCGGTACGTCGCGAATCGTCTCTTCCGGATGTGCAGCCACTCACTCCGTGCACAGGCCATCGGTACGCGTGTGCTGGCGCGCACTACTCACCTGCTTGACGGCGCAAAAGACGTCCACATGACGAAGGACATGTTCATGCGCTCCATCCTGCCCATCGGCCTCCTCTTCAGCGCCTCGCTCATCCTCTCCAACACCGCCTACCTCTACCTCTCCGTCGCCTACATCCAGATGCTCAAGGCCTTCGTGCCCGTTGCCATCCTCCTCATCTCCTGGACGTTCCGTATTCAAGAACCGAACCGGAAGCTCGCGCTCATCGTCTTCATGATCTCCTGCGGCGTCGCCCTCGCGTCCCGCGGCGAGCTCCGCTTCAACCTCGTCGGCTTCCTCACCCAGGCCGCGGCGGTCGTCTTCGAGGCGAGCAGGCTCGTGATGATCCAGGTCCTCCTGCACGGGATGAAGATGGACCCGCTCGTGTCGCTGCACTATTACGCGCCCGTGTGCGCGCTCATCAACGTCCTCGTGATTCCCTTCACGGAGGGTCTCGCGCCGTTCTACGCCATCATGGAGGGTACGTTCACGCTACGAATCGGCTGAAAAACGCTTGACACGCATTCTACAGGACAAGTGGGCCCCCTCATTCTTCTTAGCAACGCGTCCATCGCGTTCCTCCTCAACGTTGCTGCCGTCTTCCTCGTTGGCGTCGGCAGCGGCTTGGTTCTTACCCTTGCTGGAGTGTTCAAGGCATGTCTTCCCCGCGCACCCTGGGCGGTCGAATTAATGATTTCTTGTAGGACATACTGCTCGTTACCGGTTCCGTGCTAATCTTCGGAACCACCATTACGCCGCTCCAGATTTTTGGTGCGTACACCCCATCCACATGCCAGCAAACCCGAACTTACATGTTCCTCCGCAGGATATGCAATTGCTTTGGGTGGCCTTGTCGTCTTCAAGACCACGGGCGGCAAATAGATAGCCGTCGTAGACTACTTTAGGTGCTTATTGAGATGATCCCGTCACGAATGGTATCATCTGGGAACTCATATAGTATGATAACGGGTCGGTAAGTCTCGCAAGTCCCAAGAATCAAATTTCGTGAAGTATTATACATGGGAGTAAGACAGCTTGGCGACAAATCCCGGTTAAACGCGACGACGAGCAAATATGTAGTATACAATGCGAAGAAGCTAGCCCACCTAGGATTATGGGTGATTCGAACAGCGAAAAAGATAGGTCAGACGGCAAGCCTGCGTCCTGATCAATCCACCTCCTCGTTGAATACAGGCGGCGGATGTGCCGGACTCGGCATCCTACGGCCCACCCTGTCGCCCAACTTGATCTCGATCAGCAGCTGCTTCCGTAGCGCCGCGCTGGGCGGGACAAGTCGCCGCTCGAGGCTACGGCACACCCAAGAGACCAGCCCGCGCGGGCACGCGTCCAGATCCGGGTCCACCTCGTGCGGGCGCGGGACGGGCGGTGTAGGCGGCGGGTCGGGTACGGAACCTTGCGTGGGGCCGGCGGAGAGGGCGGGGAAGCGCATCGCAGGCACGGAGAGTATTGCGGGCGATGTGGGCGTCATGGACATCGCACCCATCATAGCCATCGCAGGCACCGTGGGCATCGTAGGCATGGCGGGCGAAAATGCGGGTGGTGCTGCAGGTGCCGGGTCGTCCAATTGCGCGTCATCCGCCGCGGGCGGCAGGTCCTCGTCCACATAAGAGATTTCGATGCGACCGTACGCGGTCCACAGGTGCAGCGACGATGTCTCCTTCCCGGGCGCGTCCGACTGCGCGTCCTCGAACGCGCCGACCCAGCAGCGCCGCGTCTCGTCGATTTCCTCGAACACCGTCAGTTCCTCGTCCAGCGCGGGCGAGAGCGAGAGCGGTCCGGAGCACTCGACGGTGCCTCGGAACGACCGCGGGAGGAAGACGGATATGGGCCCGCCGACGGAAGTCGCGATGATGTCCAGCGTGACTGGCGATTCAGGCGCCGTGCGCTGACAAAAAGAAAAAACCCAATATAATCAACATACGCATAGAGCGTGATAGCGTTCAACTTACCAGACGCATGGACAGCGGCCCACGCTGTGTTTTGAAGTTCAATTGGGCGGTGGTACTCTCCGCGAGAGTCGTGGAGGGGGCGCTCGCGTTGGCGCGCAGAGCGGCTGCGGCTTTGGGGACGACCCAGACATCCGCGTCTATAGGCCCGTCCCTCGTCTCTAGTCGGAGGTTGTCCCTTCTCTTCCCCGAGGTTTGGGACGCCACGAGCGCGGCGGGGATGACCAGCAGCGGGTCGACGATGAAGGGCCCGCGGATAGGGGCGTCGCCGGTGCGCGCAACGGAGAGGCAGTTGCTCGGCCGGACGTGCGGCAGGGACGCACCCGCCGTCGCCGCATACGGCGGCGGTTCGTCGGAGGCGGTCGGGTCGAGGACGCGCGGCTTTTCGTCGATGAGCATGGCAGAGTCAGAGGATGGGCCTGAGTCGAACTCGGTTCCCGACCTGATCAACGCGCGCGCAGCTGCGGACGCAGCATGGTCCGCGTCGGGCGGGTGGGCGCGGACATCGCCGCAGTCGTCGCAGCAAAGCTGGATCACGGCAATCATGTTTATGTTTACAACATCGGTTATTCCAGATGGCGGGTCACACATCTACTGCTCCATCTCAATTTCCCCAACGATGATCGCATCCACCATCTCACCAGCCTCGATGCGAGTGCGTTCTGCCTTGGCCGGCAAAGCTACGAGAGCATTCGCGCCCGCCATGCTAGCGGCTCGACTGGAGCGTTGGCCGCCCGTGTTGCGAGCTAGAATAAGCGAGGTTACCCAAGGCTCATCCGAGAAACGAGATACCAGCAACGCACCTTTTAGCCCTTCAGATCCAGCAGAAACGATCACCCGTTGAAACTCGGGCCTTGGATCGAGGCTCACAGTGTAGTCCAGCTACGGGACCCGTCAACCTGTTGACAGCTGCAGCAGGAGGAATCGCACCTTCACGCTGATCCTGGGCAACTGGCAACCACTGTCTTTATGCACGATGCCTCCGAGGCGACGTAGTGCTGGCACAACAAACACGAAGAAGCAGACAAGTGCAGAAGCCGGATTTCCTGAGCGAGTCCGGGAATCAGGATTACATAGTGCTTTTTTCGCGACCCATCTCCATACCTGGCAGCGCGAACAAGGGCTTGGACACCTTTCCATCGGCCCCTTGGACAGGAATCATAGCGAAGGTGGTTGGCTTTCCTGGCTTGACCTTGACACGTCCAAAGTGAATATGTCCTTGGAGTTCGCGCTCGATAACCGGCTTCAGAAGATCCGACGGCCCCATGCTCGTGCCCCCCGTGGTGAGGACGATATCGGCGGTGCCCAGTGCCGCTCGAAGAGCGTCCGTGTGAGCCGTCACGCTGCAAGCACATTAGCCTTGATCAACCGTGCTAGGGGGCTCGAAAGAGCGTGCCTGTCTTGAATAATTCCGTAGTCTATGACATCGTATCCCATGCCTTCCAGCGCAGCCTGCAACGATGGACGATTCGTGTCCCAAATACCCTTCCAGTGCTCGTTGCTCGCAGAGTCCGAAGACGCTGCACCAGACTGCAGATCAGCAAGTTCGTTGCCGGTGCTCATAATCGCGACGACCGGCTTCTTGTACACGGACACCTTCACGCAATGACAATCAGCAATGTAAATAACACCACCGGCATATGGATGCCACCTGCTTCCTCCCAACAAACGCCAGAGTGCCAATCTCGCCGCCCAGACTGCGCACGAGCTCGCCTTTCGCTAGCACGAGCTCACCTTTGCGCACGTCAGATCCCGGTGCCCGCACATTCTCCCCTTCTTCCACCTGAGCGAGTGTTTCGACCTCTTTTTCTTCGCCTGCGTCATCACTGTGTCACGAAGTGAGTATGCACACGCTCGAACAATTCGAGGGCACCTACGCCGAGACGAGTTTGGTATCTTCCACCATAATCACCGCGTCCGCGCCAGCCGGCAACGGGGCGCCAGTGTTAATTCGGTATATGTCGCCTGGTTTGAGGTTGGTAGACAGCGGGTGGCTTGCTGGAGTGACCACGCGATATATTCCAGGCTTGTCAGTCGCTGTGATACACCGCGGAAGGTTAGTTGGCGGACATTCTGCGTTAGTAGAAGTATACACAGACGCACATCGGACGGCATAGCCATCGACGTTTGTCGTGCGGTTAGCAGGGACGTCTTGAGGAGCATGGACTTCTTCCGCCAGTATGTGGCCTCTCAATGCTGGCGTGACCTATGTCACAATGCAACCATCAGGGAAACTGCGTGCGACGTAAGAAAACGCGTACCAGTTCTTCTGTGATGGGAAGGGCCTGTACCTCCCTCAACACGATCGAAATCGCGTCGTCGAGATCGATGAGCGGGTATGGAGAGACACGGTTGCGCACAGATACTAGAACGACCGGAGCCAACGCATGTTCAGCATGAGAACTTTGAGGGATAGTTAGTCCTTACTTGGCTGAGAAGGATCATGGGAAAGCACGGTTCTCGATTTCGGAGGCTGATGTCCATGCTCATCACTGTGCGTATGCCCATGGCGGTGGTGGTGACTGGACGACAAAGGCTCGATTGCCTTGGCGACCTCTGACGGGCTCTTCTCCTGTGCCAGAGCCTGGTGCACGTTCTTGCCCGTGCCACCTCGCAAGAGCTCGACAGCATGGGCTACAACGCCTCCATCCAGAAGCGCGTGCAGATTTTCCCGGACAGCCTTGACGGACCCTGGGAGTGTGACTACAAGCACACCGCGCGATTCGCTGGACTCGATCACGCCTACAACGATCAGCAGATGAGTTTTGTATGTGCCGTGGAGGTAATACGACGGGGACCTTACCTGCTACTGGCCTCGAGAGTGCAGCAAGCGGCGTATGCTTTAGCGAGCTTGACAGCAATAGATGCACGATGCCAGACGCAGGGCGAGTAATGAGTTGTGCAACGGCCTGGCGATAGCGATATCTGCTGTGAGTACGCTTTTCGTCTCTCTGAGCAACAGCACCTATCCACCGACCTCGGGGGTACGATCTCGGACTCCAAACCCCGTACCACCGGTGGTAATGACCCAGTCGACTTCTCCAGATGCACACCAGTTCCGAACCACATCCCGGAGTTGTTCGGAGTCATCTGGCACGATCCGTGTAGCAGTAACTGCTCGGGAGCGGTCTGAGAGAGGAAGCGGCTCAGAGACGGCGTGCACCGTATTCACCCTCGTATGATCCGGTCGTGTGGAGGATATCTCGAATGGCAGGACCAGATTTGTCTGCCCCAGCACCCTGGTTGAATGCGGTGTCGCTCACTGCGTGAAAGGGCGGTCAGGAGCAACATCGATAGAAAAAGCCAGACTTACCTGTTAGAACGCCAACGCGGATCGCAGTCATCGCGGCTAACTACGGTCAAGTTGTTTGGGACAACATCCATGAGGTATGGGTACAGTAACCGACATGATGTCATCAAGCCATTGGACAAAAAGGCAAAAGACAAACTTAGCAGCGCCTCGTTTCGATCGAGGGACTTCAGGGTTATGAGCCCTGCACGCTACCACTGCGTCACGCTGCTCTGATTCTCGGTCCCGTTGGAGCATAGGTGTCGCGTCCGCTCGCCCATCCTCCATACCTAGTCAGTTGCGAATTGATATACAACATGTACTTCAATTCGTTCGCGTCATCGTACCCTCCTTCGAGAACGAATTTTAATCGAGCTATAATGTAAGCTCCTCCACCTGGTACACTCCAACTGCCATGGCCGCCTTTTCCCGTAGCTCCCTCTTCCGTCGCCTCCAGTCAACATCTTTGTCCTTGGCAGGAGTGTCTTTTTTCGTGCTTGCACGTTTTTGTGCCACGGCAAACTGTTCCAACGGGGCACTCAATCCCTCCAGCGTACCAACCAATTCGACCTCTGGCTCGAGATGGGCCATCAGCCCTCGGAGCACCGCGTGCGCGGGTCGGTGCTGGAGCAATGTCAAGAAAGAGCAGTCAAGGAGAACTTGAACAAAAGCGATGACCTGACCGAAGGGGAAAGACTGTCAGTTGTGTGTGATTGGCTGGGATGACTGTCGCGACTTACTTTGTCAAGAGGAGGAATTCGTGCTTTACGCTTCGGCGGTTTGACCTCGCTGAACGTGCCAGCACCCTGCAAATCAGTCGCTGACCATCGTGCGACCCACACATCCAAAACCGTTAGTACCTTTGTCAGCTGCTCCGCAGAAGCCATATGCTTTCGCAAAGCCAACCGTAATGCAGGTGCGGAGGTTTGTGGCGCGTAGTTGACCACGTAGCCGAGGATGATGTCCAACCCGGGCGAGTGCGGCCCGCCCGCTGGTGTATCAACGTCCATCGCGTTGGACTCATCAGGCTCCGCGGCAACGTTGGAGCGTAGGACTGAGACGACCTCATCCTCAGTCAGGTCTACCACTGACTGAAAAGCCGATCTGATGGATGTCTGCAGCCAAGTCAATGATCATCGCAGAGGGCGAAGACGACATCCATACCCAGTCTCTTTTCGTTCTCAAGGCTGTCAAAAGACCCCCCTCCACCATCGTTGAGCTGATGACCCGCCTCTCTAGGAGATACTGCATCACTTTGGGTGAATATATCCGTGGCGAGCGGGTTGCCTTTGTTTTGCCCTGCCCTGATGACAGCATCATGTGGACGACCTTCTTCACGAAATTGGAACCCAGCTGCGGAACCTCGCGCAGGTCTCCCTGTGCTGCATCCTTCTCTGCACGCACCCAGTTGAAAAACGAAGTCTCGAATGACTTCGCATCCGCGGCGCCGCCGAAGAGTCGAAGCTGCTCTGCGTATGGCTCGCTAACATCGCTACCATGCGACTCGAGTTTTTCGGTTGACGTGAGGTACGGTTCGCTTGTCTCTGCACGACCAATGACGGCAGCTATCGTCGATTGCGCGGGGACGGCAAAAGGCACGACGAGCGCGGATGAGCGGGTCTCACCAGAAAGTAGTAGCAGTGCTTGTGACTCGGTCGCCTGGACAAGTTCAACCACCACGTTGGAGTCCTCGACGAAGGCAGACGGGAGCGGCATGACGTGAGAAGCGACCAGGACGCCGTACTGTAGGTCCCATAGCAGGAGCTGAACTTCACATTGATGAGAAGCGGAGGCAAGGAGAACGTGTGACGTGTTGAGGGCAAGTAGGGAGGTGGCATGAGGACGAAGGGTGGTGGACGGTGGCGACACTGCACGAGGGGATAGGTAAATAGTGGACGCCGCTTGGAACATTTGGAGACTGTCGGAGGGCGTGGATGGAGCATATGAGAAGGACAATTCGTAGGAATGCCATGCACCAGAAGCGAAGAGAACGCTCAGCCATTCACTATTACTGCACGAGGCATCGATGATGTCCCCTTCGCTCTTGTCCGCAGGTAACGTATATTCTCCCACCCCGACGATCTCCCCTTGTTCCGGGGTAAAGACAGATACGCGTACCCGCTTGTCTTGAAGAATGCTGATGAGGAGGAAAGAATCCGGTAGAACATGCTGGGTGACGGCGAATGTGCACGACTGGGTAGCTAGCACGAAAGTTTTGCTCAGTCGACTGGAGGAAGTGGAGGGTAATGATGAGGTGGTTGCGACAACTTGCAGGGCAGAGTCCGTTACCGTCCAGTCGCCATGAGGAGAGGAGAATATGACGTTGTTGTGTAGACCCTCCGGAGTATGTATATCAAAGACTGCGTGAGGGAGCTGATTGATGCGTAAGTTTTGTCGTTTCTTGAGTTACATTGGGGGTCTGCCAGCATACCTTAGATGAAGTTTTCTTCAAGCTCTCCCCATTACGCGTGCCAACAAAGCAAGACACGCTCTGAGCATTAGTGAGGTCGCTTTCGTCTTTTCCGGAAGCAATCGCGGCATAAGTTTGGTATACTACACCGGTACCCGGTGTAGCTACTCTCGTGCCTGGAGGACACGCAAACGATGCTGACGGCCCGAGTGAGTGCGAAGTGACAGGATGTAAATCAGCCAGCTAGATAGCTGGTTCAGCTTGCATTGCTGGGCCAAGGCGTGAATCGACATACATCAAACACATGCAGGCCATCTTGGGGTACGGCAAGCGTCACATAACCTTCCTTTTTGTCATAGGAGGCATGACTTGCGTGTAATCTGCGAGTAGACCCATTTGTTGTAGGTTGTGATGTTTTTGCAGACCCTTTGGCCTTGGAATATGGGTAACTCGCAAGCGTGAAAGGTTCGTTGACGATGGCAGGAGACATTGAATAATTTCTAGAGCTGGTCCACTGATTGGCCCGCCATCCAGTGGCTGTACCCCGATCTTTTCTGCCGTGCCGACCAAAATCCTTGGATGTCACAACTGCCTGCCATCTTCTATCCTTTCCTGTGAATGAGCGCCACTGTTTTGCGTATAAAACAAGAGACCGTTACTCATACAGAGCTGTCTTCGAGGCTGTCATGAATGGCTACATCATCTGCGAAGCAGTCAACAAGACGAGTCATATCCCACAATCCTTTTCCCTCACTGTTCCAGCTGCCGATGGGCTCGCTCTATCGCATGTTTCTCGATCACTCGCTCTGGGATGATAGCAGCGCGATAGGCGCTCAGGTGGCTTCGCTTTGAGTCGCCGTGCCGTCCCGTGGTGCCAATCGTGGGGAGCTATGTGATTGCTGCCGCAACGAGCTATACAACACGCGCAAAACACGCAATACCGGGACGCCTCGTGCACCGATATGCTTCTTGAAAGTGCGAGTCACGATCTCTCGGATAGCATTTGATAGCTATTGCGGTGCATGCCCATATAACGCCTTGGGCGTACGGGCGTCCAGTCTCGGGCGTTCAACCTGTCTTTCATTTCAGTCTCGACGAACATGTCTTCCTCTGCTATGACGGACTCCGATAGTGAACTCCCAGCTGGGCTACCGTCTCTCGCAACGCCTCGGACTCCCGACGCTTCTTCAACTCGAGCCGCTCCACCTGAATCAGACCCGGAAACGAGCGCCGAACCTGGAAAAGGCACCAAAGCAACAGCCAATACAGATGTCGAGGATGTCATTGCTTCCCTCAACGATAACACACAGGAACCCCATGACGGCTTTCTGAAGAGGTGGCAAATCTGGTCCGTCGCGTAACGGTTATTGCTCGCTAGGCTGCGCATGAACATATTGCGTAGGAATCCGGTGGACTACATATGGGATCCCTTTGATAGAACTCAACTACGTCTCGCTGAGACTCCGGGGCAAGACCTCAACAACTGCTTCTACGTCAATGAGCGCTATATGACACCTCAAGGTTTTTCATGCAGTGCGATAGTCGTACCTCCTTTGCTCACTCTACCGCCCATAGGCAAGCCGGAGTTGGTGCTAACAAATTTCAGCCTCCCTTTGATACAGTTCATGAGGTTCGTGGCGACAGAGACCGCGATGTCTGTCGTGTTGACTTGAGATCAGAATCCTCGTTGGGGACGTCTTCTTCAACGATGCACCGGAGTATCCCGTTGCGGATTCGTTTCCCAAGCTGAAGCAGATGAAGGCAAGGCTGGAAGATGTTAAGGCTGCCACGAGCCTGAACTTCAATGAGGAGGAGTCTCGCAAGGGAGCACAAGGACTGGGTTGCATCGAGGCATCGGACTGTAAATATGTCCTGATCCCTCAAATGCAAAGCAATAGCTGATGACTAGGACCAAGCAACATACGACGCATCGCTGATCCATCAATATATCAATGACCTACTACGGCATCTTACGATATTGACGGACTTTCTCGAGGAGCAGTTTGCCCCTACGCAAGTATTTCTTTACGAAAACTCGCTGGATCAAATAACACGATGTCTTATCTTGCACGCAGAGCGAAGCGTTTCGCGCTCCAAAGAGCCTGCGACCAGTTGGAATATGAGCTCCTTCAATACTACTTCGAAGAAGGATCAGAGGTGTCCGCAACCGACGAATATGGCAAAACTGTAAACAGTCCGATGAATGACTGACTTTCGGGGACTGACAAGCATGTGTCTCAGGTTGCCTTCATTGTCACCAGCGTGGCATACGTCAGGTATGCGTCCCAGATGCTATCAACCGTCGTTGCCCTAAGCGCTGATGCGAACCTCAGCGGATTCACCTCTTATTTCCAATTGACTTTACAGGGATATGAGTAGAACGGCGTGGACTACCAGGCTTATAGCAGTTCGAGAGAGATTACCAATTACGGGGTAATGCATTTCCCACTTTGTTGGTCGTACTCTCATCTCCAGTACAGGGAACCGCAGAAATCAGCTCGTTCCCCTGCAAGGCGCTGACAGCGGAGACGCGTCAAGAGCTCTCAGGTGATACTAATGGTTTTGGTTCATATGGCATGCAATAACACGGTCGTAGATCGCGCTCGCAAGTACTATATTCCACATGCAGGTGTTCACTACAGAAGTTGCAAGTGTAGACTCTTGCCTCCATTGTTCTCGCGTGACTGACGTTAAACACGTGCGCCGCTCAGACGCCGGTGTTAGTTGAGCTTGATACCTTTTTTTTTCGCGTTGTGTTCATTACTTTCCCCAGAACCGGGTGATAATCGACCGCCGGGCGTTCGATTCCAGAGAGGGCTACGAACTCGATCCGTGCGTAAAAGCAGTACTGAGGCTCGATATGCTGCTAATAAGATGGCCCCACAGGGATGTTGCGATACCACAGCTAGAAGAAGACAAACTGCATCTGACACCAGCACATGTCTCTGGCTTCGTCCTGCGCAGTAAGCAGTGGACGAACTTCCCGGTGGCAGAGTTGCAGGATGTCGCGTTCGACGAAAACGCTTGGGATCACCTGGTCCTTGATTCGGATACTAAGGTCTGAGCCATCCCCACACATCTGACACCGTTGTTTTTCACGCGGTTTCCATAGACTCTCATCAAGGGCCTCGTCGAAGTGACGAGGAACGCGAACACGGCGAAAACGATCATCAGCGACGTGATCTCTGGCAAAGGAGGTGGATTGGTAAGTACAGAGCAAATGAATCTATTCCTGGGCAGCTCTGACGTGAAGCGAAAGATTTCAGTGCTCCACGGTCCACCAGGCACCGGTGCGGCTTCTGTATTAGAAGCGGAGGTATGAAGCTGACACTGTAATACACTTCAGGGAAGACGCTCACAGCGGAAGCCGTCGCGGAACATTTGAAACGCCCACTCTATGTTGTGGGTACGTCGGAGCTATCCACGGAGCCCTATGGGCTCGAATCCAGTCTGCAATCTATTCTTCGGGTAAGGGCATAGTTTTTGAGTACATTTCTTGTACCCTGCTGATTTTGACGCACGCGTAGCTTGCAACTGCTTGGGACGCGGTACTTCTCATTGACGAGGCCGATGTGTACCTTGAGCAGCGCAGTTTACACGAGGTACAGGCATCTTACTGCTGGTGGTGGCAGTCATTAACAGGTGACTAGATCGAACGCAACGCCCTGGTTTCGGTGGCACTTCGCCTATTGGAGTATCACCGCGGCGTTCTGTTCCTTACGACCAATAGGATCAAGACATTTGACGAGGCATTTCTTTCAAGGTTCTCCATTGGTAGGCGTATGCTTGCAGCTCATTGAACATACTTCATGACTTTTGATACAGCCATCAAGTACGAAGAACTTGACAAACCTGCGCGATTGGCTGTATGGAAGAAGTTCGTAGAGTTGGCTGGCGTATCGGTCGAAACGTCTAGTGGTACGCCTGGGATAGCACTTGCGGATTTAGACGAACTCGCCGAAAAACCCTTCAATGGTTCGTGTTTACATTCCTGTATGGATACGTTTGTCAACTCTCCTGTAGGGCGGACCATCAAGAACCTCGTCAGAACTGCTCAGGCTTTGGCGTTGTCGCAGTGCGTACTCGGTCTACTACAGATTGCTGCAATCATCTTACAGTTTGAACTAGTTCGGAATCGCTTAGCATCGGTCACGTCAAGATGGTGGTGAGGGTGCAAGAGAAGTTCTTGAAGGAGTTCGGGCAGTCATGAAGAGCGCCATTCTTTTTCCACTGGCAGTACTCGGTAGTGATGGCCCCGTAATGCACAATATTGAAATGTAGGCTGAGCCGCCACCGAGCCCCCGGCGAGCATATTGCCAATACCAATTTCTGAGCACATGCGCGGGACCGTCTGACTAGTCTGCCGCGCATGACGGTTGGCAAGTGGTCAGTGACGAAAAAATTCGGCTTGCGAGTGTCTTAGTGGGCAGCATCCAGGGGACAGATGCGTCAATAAACCAAGGGTCGATCATTTTCGTCCCGCCCTCTTCCTCTGCTTGTCCTTCTCCTTCGCCCTTATCTCAGCCTTCTCCTCCGCCCTCTCCCCTTCTAGACTGCCCATTACGCGCCTCATCTGCTTCTCGTACGCCTCGTCCTTCTGTCGCTGCTCCTTCTCGCGCACCTCCGCCAAGAAGCGCGCGTCTTTGCGCAGCTCGCGCATCGCGCCCTTCTTCTCCTGCTTAAACTGTCGCCGGAGCTTCTGTGCCTCGACTCTCTCCTTGTCCGGATCATTGTGCGTGAGTGCAAAGGAAGAACCGGAGGTGGACATGGAGAACTTGGGGAGGTAGGTAGGGATAGGGATGGGCTTGTGAGCTTGGAGGAGGAGGGGTTGTCGGGATTGACGGGCAAACTTGAGGAGACGGGCAAGGGCATCGCGGGTGGATGCGAGCTGGGTCTATGAGCAGCGGATGGTTAGATACTCAGGTTACTCCTGAAAGGCAAAGAAGCTACCTGAAGTGCGTGCGGCAATTTCCGTGCCTGTACACCATCCAGCAACTCGAGGATCGGTTCGAAGAGCTCGATGAACCCGTCAAGGTCCTTATACATATCTGCGAACCTCCACAATGTGGTCACGGCAACGTTCAGCAGATCCACCTTGGTTTTCGCTTGATTGACATCCTCGCTAGCCAAGATCTGGACCATATTGGGCTTAGCAACCTCGACGATGATTGAATCCCCCTTCTTCACCCTCAACCCCCTCGTCACATTCCACGCCGGAATAGGAAAGGCGCCCGGCAACTCTTTGCCGTCCTTCCACTTCGTCGGTGCGACCCTAGCGATTGCGTTCGCGCAGAACGCCACTGCCTCGGGTACGAAGCGCTGGCTGCGCGCCTCCCAGCTCGCCCAGAGGCTGCATACGAACAGTCCACTTGCTAGGTCGCGGAGCGTACGCAAGTGTGGGAGGCCGAGGGCAAGATACGCGCCCATAAGAACTCGTGCGGGGTTGACAGCAGCGTGGTTGAGGTCGCTCGTTGGGAAGAGCACACCAAGGACGCGTAAAAGTGCGAGCTCGGGCAGCCCGGGGAAGACTCGGGCGGGGAAAGACGAGGTAGAGGCGGCGAGAGAGAGGCTGCGTTTGAAGTTTCTCTCCATGAGCACGAGCTTGGAGACGAGATGCTCAGCAACCGAAATCGGATACGATTTGGTGAGGGCGAGGAGGTGGGGGAGAAGGGAGGAAATGAGGGGAAACCGTGAGGCAGGCGGTTGGGCAATATGAAGGATATGATCAACGAGGACGCGTGCGAGGTCCTAGATGATGTCTGGTAAATGCCCCAATCGTAGTATGCCGAGGAAAGCAATCACCTGCAACTTGAGCTTGTTATCCTCTGCTAGAGATGGGTGGTACAATGTTCTGATACGTTGAACTACGGTCGGAACGTCCTCGTCTTGAATATTCTCGATGATGTCCAGGAATTCCTCATGTGTAGATGGACAGGGAAATGTGTAGGGGAGCTCGGAGGATTTGGATTTACTCTTCCCCTTTGACGCCCTGGACTTAGACGCATCGGAGCTTAAGGAGACAGGCATCCGTTGCGCGGCGATACGAGCCTCAGGCTCTGAACCATCTGATGCCTCAGGGTCCTCATCATCCTCGTCATCGTCAGCGTCCGCGTCTTCTTCCTCTTCGCCGTCCTGATCGCTGTCCTCTTCATCGTCGTTTTCTTGGGATGAATCCTCATCCCCTGCGTCGAACTCTACCTCATCACCCAAACCAGCTCCTAGACCGGGCACCCCTTCCTCATCGACAAAATCATCGTCCAAGTCATCTCCTTGACCACCCCTGCGTCGCGCCTTGAATCCGCCCTCTTCGTCACCACTCTCCTCCTCCAACCCTTGCATCCTCCGTAACCGTCTCTTCTCTGCCTTCTCTAGCTCCTCCGCGCGTTCGGCTGCAAGTTCCTCCTCCGTCTTTATTCTATCCTTCGCCTTCGCCTTCTGATCAAACGCCAAACTTCGTACAGCGGCATCGTAGTCTGCGTCCTTCTTCTCTAGAATCTGGCCGGCTTCCTGAGCGGTTGCAGAGGCAGCGGTCAGCAGTGAGCGGAGGGCATCGAACTCTTGATCGAGCTCCATGCGTAGGTCGGCATTCTCTTGAGCTTCAAGCTGACGGCGAGCCTTGTGTTCTTTGGATTTCGCGATGACTTCAGCCATTACTTCCGCTTTGCTCTTTTGACGATCGGGCTAGCGAGGGGTCAGTACAGACGATACCGAATATTGAACATTTTTACCTCGTCTCCTTCTTCGTCATCAGAGAAACCCCCAAAGTGTGCCCTCTTCACAACGGAAGCGTCGAGTTGGCCTATGAAATGTGAATGGTACGTCAGGTACGAAGAAACGCGCAACACACCACGGTCCTCTTCCTCCTCCTCATCGTCCAATGCGAGCCCTGCCCCATCAAAGTCGTCCAAGTTGGATAGACTCTGGCCATAGTGCGTGAGTTCTGTCTCATCGTCCAGGTTGAAGAGGCCAGCGTCCCGGGCGGTTCGTTGGCGTTCGCGAGTGAACCGTTCGAGCATGCGCTCCTCCGGGGTCATGGTAGGATCATTTTCACCAATGCGGCGGTCGACGATTCCACCTGCGTGATGTTTAGTAGCATGTTCTTGCAATAGCGTTTTCTTGCGCTAGTCCTGCACGGTCAGCATCTCCACAACGAGCAGTGGATAATGATGCATGCCTGCTCGATCCCGGCCTGTTTGCTCTTCGCGGGCTTGCCCGCGATACCCTTGAGTTTCCTGCCCAAGACATCGTGCTTGAGCTTGGTGACCTTTTCGTCGAACGGGTTGAGCTTGCGGTGGATCTCCTCCAGCCTCGCCGCCTTGGCCTTTTTCTCCCGCTCGGTGTCCTCCGCCCTAGCCGTCCGCTTGCGTTTCTTGGAGGGGGGAGGCTGGCCACGGATGCCGGCGCTGTTGAGCGCCGACTTGAGCTGGGCAAGTTGCGAGCCCTTGGCCATAGGTTACTTACAAGCAAATCGGAAAAAAGAGACGTAAGTAAAATGAAACTGAACACGCCCCTCCCGCGCCTCGTGGCTATCCCCGCCGTTTATTCCTTGCTCACTCCGCCATGTCCTGAGCCCCGACGATGCGCACCAGCCTCGCCCTCCTCGCCCTCGCCGTCGGCGGCGCCGTCGTCGTCGGCGATGTCAGCGCGCAACCCGCCACTGTCCGGTTCAGCGACTGCTTCTCCGGCAGCAAAAGCCAGAAGCTCAACGTCTCCACCGTCTACGGCCAGATGTTCGACGCCGACGCCCGCCATCTCAACCTGACCGTGCTTGGTACCTCGCCTCAGGATATCATCGGATCGGCCAACCTCAACCTCGCTACCCTCTTCACGACGACCGAGATGCTCACTCTCGACGTCTGGGACAACAGCACGTACTTTTGCCAGACCCTCCGCCCGCCATCGCCCCTCCCGAGCACCACCAACGGCTCGTCCCTCTACTGCCCCATCCCCGCCGGCCCATTTGCCTTTAGCACGTACATCCCCCTCGACTCTGCCCGCGAGCTCGCCACCCTCCAGACCCGGCTTCACGCCGTTGACCCCTCCTCGGCCGAGATACTCTGCATCGACGTCTTCACCACTAACCTCGCCCCGGGCACATGGGGAAGCGTTTATGGCCACGCCATCGCTATATTCTGGTTCACCGTCGCGCTCGCCATAGCATACTGGCTCTTGGTTCTCGTCGCCCGCATCGTCAGCGCGTGGGGGCGCGGGGTCGCACGCACGGGCACGGGAGTATGGGGCAAGGTCGAACGCGTCGGGTTCGTATTCGCGAGCGCGCTCAGCGGAGAACGCTTCGCCGTCAGTCCGGCGCTCATGCGGTTTTGCACACCGTCGATGCGGGACATACTTTTCCATACGCAATGGGTTGCCGGACTCAGCATGGTCGCCGTTCAATGGCCCAGCTTTGTGTACCCACTGGCCGCACAAACCGCTTGGAGCATGCTGTCCTACAATATCACCCTGACGCAGGGATCCAAACACCCACTGCATTGGAACCCCGTATCTGTACCCGCCTTCCACCCGCCCTCGAACTTCGCCGATCAGCTAACCGACCCGACGTCCCCGCTGTTTGTGGACACTTCGAACCCCAATACGTTGTTCACGCTCCCGCCCGACGCTCGCACCGGCATTCCTTCCTTCGCCTATGCTGTGGGTCTTCGTCCCGAAGACCTCTTCGGCATCTGTATGGGTATTTTCCTCCTCCTCCTCGCGGCTGTCTGCGTCATCAGTCTCGTTATCAAGCTCTTCGCAGCACTCGGCTCGTCCGGGCGCTCCGCTATGGGCTCCAGAGGCCGGAGTCACAGCCCAGGGCCGTACGGCGCACGGGCAGGCGGACCCGCCGCGAGTAAGGACGTTCTCTCTGAGTCCGGCGTTGGCGCTACGGACGACAGCGTGGACAACAAGTCGCATCAGTCCCACTTCCTCTTCTCGCGCGCCGTTCCTGCGCCGTCCAAGTCGCGGTTCATCAACCGCATCCGCCCGAACCTCAATTCATTCCACCTTTCCATCCTACACGGTGCCCTGGTCCGCGTCCTAATCTGGTTCCACTTCCCGATCACGCTCTTCGCGGCGTACCACATGACGCTGCCTCGATCGCACGCGCCGCTCTCTTCCGTTGTTCTCGCCGCGCTGTCCTTCGCGTTTTTCAGTGTGCTCATTCCCGGCCTGCTGCTTGCGCGTCTCGCGCTCACGTCCACGAGCAAGCTGTATGATGAGACTTGCACCCTTCTCGCTCTCGGCCCGCTCTATAACCACTACCGCGCAGGCTCTCAGCTCTTCGCTGGTCTCTTCTTCCTCGATAACCTCGCGATGGGCCTCACGATTGGCGCGGGTCAGCGTAGCGGAACCGCGCAGGCGATCATTATCCTCGTGGTGGAGGTAGTCAGCGCGTTGACGACAAGCTTGTGGCTACCATGGGGGCAAGGAGCGAGCATGGGGCTCATAAGCTTCCTATTCTGCGTCGGACGAATCGTCATCGCGGTCCTGGTCGTGATCCTCACACCCGTGGTTAGTATTCTATACTTCACCATGAGGATCAACACATCTGATCTGACATCTTCTTCAGGTTTCGATCGGCCAGGCAGCAGGAGGCTGGGTTGCCTACGCTATCCTCCTCATCCTCGCGCTCATTTACCTCGCCTTCGTTCTCATACTCTTTGTCAAGATTATCGAAGGCATCACCCGAATCTGCGGTGGCGTTAGCTTCGACCGATCGCGTCACGTGGTTGACTCCGGTCTCATCGGCGCCTGCGGACTGCTCGGCTGCTGCGGTGGCGGACGACAGCAGAGGCGTCGGAGGCGCTACAGAGCGTCTGACGCGCGCAGGCCGTCAAGTCAGCCGTTTGCCTTGCCCAGTTCGGCGTTACAGCAGAACAACCAAAGCACGCTCAATAGCCAATCCCAGACGCTGAAGGCGGAATCTTATGGCCCACCGAGTGTGCTCCGCCCCGAGCACGCCATGCGGCCGTACAAGGAAACCGACGACGAGGAGCAAGAGGCGGGCTATATTATGGGCGCTTGGCAGCCATTCCCGCGGCCGGGGTACAACGCCCTTGCAGAACAACATAAGGACTCGTTCTCTTCCAACCCGTCCACGCTCGTGCAATCGACTCCGGCGCCTGCCGCTTCCAGCTCCGGCTTCGCGCGGGTGGGTGGCGGGCGGGCGCACTACGAGGACCCGTACCATATCGCCACCAGATCTAGCCTGACGTTCCCAAGCGCGGACCACTCGATCGACCGAGCGGAGAGGCCCACGCTCGCGAGGCACCTGACGAACGAGCGGGAAGAGGACGAGGTCCTCCCCACCGCCTCCGTCGTCAGCTTTGCCCGGCAGCCAACGCCCCTTACACCGCACCAGCGCACGCGCTCGCAGACCGCGATTGTCGAGGACGTTGCGCTATTACGGAACATGTTCGCGGACGCGCACGAGGTCCGGCCGTTATCGCCTGGTGGGCGGAAAGACGAGAACGCCGTGGTTGACGACGACGACGACGACGACGAATCGGTGAAGGAGACGCCTCGGCATCGTGGATGGTTCAGCCTTGGAAGGAAGACCAGGCGGCACAGCGAGATTGCCTCGCCTCCGCCAGCGCCTTTAAACCTCAGTGCCGACCCTGGACCCTCGGAGGCTGGTCCGAGCACGGGCCGCTCGTTCGTCGTCGTGCGCAAGCAACAGCCGGGTATCAGGCAACAAAGTGCGTCGCTCGATCTCAACAGAGCGACCGAGGACAGACCCGGTCGCTCGTTCGAGGTACTCCGGGGCAAAGACGTATGATTATAGTGACAACTGATTGCTCTTCGCTATGTTCATCGACGCTCGCTGTGAATGTATCCTTTATCTATCTTATGACCTAGATCCCTACGATCCCACGGACTTCTGCTCCTAGCACTTCTCTTCCAGTGTCAAATTGTACACATACTACAGTTTCAGTTGCTAATTACCAATGCACGACTTGTCCATGAAACTGTAATCCGCAAGGTCATGCTTGCAAATCCGGACTGCCCCCTCTCGACTAATCCGTTTCCTCCAGGGACGGGTTGCTGCCGGTGCCTCCTACCCAGAACACGCGGTAGTCGTCATAGCCCTTCCGCACCCAGCCATAGATGCCCTGCTCCTGCGAGATCTTGTCAGCGATGGCATCGGAATCGAGGCTATCGAACGATGTGGCGGATACGCCAGACGCAGTCGAGAACGTGCGGGTAAGTTGGGACGACGAACGATGCCAATGGCCACCGGCGCACAGGAAGCCGACGTCTCCGCCCACGTCCGCGTCGGCGCGCACGACCTCCTCCGCTTTCGCTTTGCCCTTTCCGCCCTGGCGGGCCGTGATGAGGAAGGAAAGCGTCAACTCCTGAACTTCCACGCCGTCTTCCCCAAAAGCCACGAGTTGCAGCTGTGGTTGCTTGCCACCGTCCGGGGAGAAGCATTCGATGATTCTAGGGGACACGTACGACGGCGTGCAGTTCCATGAGAGGGCGGCGAGCGGGGGAACTGAGGCAAGATTGGGAGGGAGCGGCGAGGGGACTATATGGGTTTGTTTACCACGTGTAAGACAGCAGACAGGCGTTGTAGACGACAACGTCGAGGCATGGTGATAGATCGGACTACCAGGCAGCTCAATGTGCGCCGGTGGAAGCCAAGTGCCCTTCTGCTCCTTGCCGAATCCGAAGGGCCCGTGCCCGTGCCCGCCGTCAAACGAAGCACGGGACCGCCGGGCCAAGGAACTCAACGACGCGGATGGCGTGAGCCGCGACAGTGCGTTGCTCCCGTCGTCGTATAATTCTACTTCGCCGACTGCTGAGTCTGATATGCGGATGAGCCCAGCCTTCTTTTCGAAGATTACAAACAGGCTGGGTTGTGGGCCGTAGGCGTCGGTCAGGTGTCGCAGCGTCGCCTCGGAACCTTGCCGATCGTGTCCGGAGCCCATCAGCGGCGCGCGGCTACCCGTGGTCCGCGTTGAGACCGTGCTCATGTTGGAAACGGATCGACTCATGCCGTCCTGCACGGTGTGGTCGACGAACGTGATACTGCGCGGTGTCAAAGGCGTGTAGAAGTCCTGTCAAGAGTTAGACACGTATCAGTCGTGTAATTCAAGGAATGCACCTTCACGAAACGGAAGGCACGTTCGCCCTTGGGCGTCTCGTACAGCAGTATGTTGGATTTTGAGGCGATTGCAAGCAACGCACCACCCCGTTGCCGGCTCTGGTCGGTTTTCAGGTCATAGAATAGAACCGAAAGGCTCGCCAACCTCGACCCAGGCGACGCTAGAGGAACATAGTCCGATGCCCACCGAAGCGGCAAGTCGTCGACCAAGTCCCAACTTGATTCCGAGCTGTTGGAGTTGTTACGATCGGTCAGCGGTCGTAGGTGGGCGTCGTCTCCTGAAGAGGAAGTCGGTCGAGGAAAATTCTGGGCATCCTTTTGGGGGACCGGCGGGGAACGCTCAGCTAAAGGAGATTCGACGACAAGGTTCTTGATTCCCCGGGTGATGCTTCCATGCGACTTGTGCTTTTTGTGTCGCGATGGGCTCTGCTGTGGGTGCCAGTTGGATGGACGTCGCATGTCTACTGGGCGTGCACCCTAACATCCTGTCAGCAACGGAGATGAACGAGGCAAGAGGGTATAGACCAACCTTCTGCGATATGGTCCACTTTGCGAGGCTGACCAGACTTGCGAGGTTGTACATCCTCAGAGCGCGCACCGCTTCCGCATCTTTAGGGGATGACTCATCAGATCCGACCAGCATCAACACCACCCCAGACGGCGTTCCTTCAACGCTCGCGTTATCCATCTCGAGCAAGGACATCTGGTAGACGCTTTCTGACCGCCTTGAGCTCCTGACTCTCGTCAACCCATGTATGACGCTACCACTCACCCTTCGCCCCGCCACATGACGAGAGATTGCGCTTCGCTCGGATCTTTCTGCGTCAAGCCGTCCTCCGTCCATTCGTGCGGGAACATGTCCAACACGGACATGCCCTCTTCATGGCCGATCAGGACGAGCCTCTCTGAGGGCAATGGTAGTAGCGCATGTATTGGAGCCGAGGTGTGCGGGAGAAAGCGCGAGCCAAAGTGATACAGCCGCAGATGGCTAGGAAAGAGCTGCTCGCCCACGAACGCGGGCGGTGTCGGCGTCGGCGGGTCGTAGTGGTAGACCGGGGGCTCCTGGTCGAACGAGGTCTGTATTTGGAGCACACTATTCCGGGTCGGGGTGGCAGGATCGTCGAGGATGAGAGGGACAGAGGCCGATGGGGTCTCCTGCTGGTCGCAGAAGGGGAACGATGAGAACGAGGGTCTCTGTCTTTCCGATACGACGACGGCTCACTGGTGCTGGAGGTACCGGGGGCTCCCATCCTCGCTGCCGGCGCCTGGCCCGTTGCTCCGGGGTTATATCGTTATATCGTTCCGCAGCTCTGCACTCCGCGTTGGTTCAGTGTCAACAGGCAGAACACCGGGCGCATCGCGCACCTCTTCTCTATCCAGCTCCTCCAGCGCCCAAACCTTGCAAACGACGGCCAGATAAGTAGAGCGCGGGTTGAGCGCCGAGTTAATGCGCACTCGCCTCGAGTTCGGCCCGTGCTGCTCTGCGAGATCTTCGTACGTCGGCAGATCGCCGTCTCCGGCCTGGTCCTGCTCGACATTGTGCGGCGAATCCCAGTGGGCCATTCTAGGTACTGGCTAGCGCGGTCTTGTAGCGGGGGCGAACGGAGTGGTGTTAAGAGCAGTACTGCGCCCGTGAGGCTGTCTCCTCGCGGAGATCATCTTATTTGAATGCCTTTCATCACTAGGTGTCCACACCGTTCGATCAACGCCCGTACCCTTGTACTCAACCCTGGACACAGTCGCCAGATAGCTCTGTACATGTTAGATGGATGCTGACAGGCCCGAAAGGCCCGGTTATTGTACACACATACGCGCACTGTTGGGTTAACCTTGTCGACCGCGTACGACGATACCCCTAGGCAGGGGGCACTATTATTATTAACCGGCGCTGCCCGGCCTCGGCCTCGCACTAAGTATACTTGTACGGTGGTCGTTTTCTGCCAGATCTGGCTCGATGCCACCGCCGCATCACGCTCTGTCACGCTATGTGGCCGCCATGCTAGATCTGTGGAGCCGGTTACAGGACCCCTTGCTCTCTACTTTCAGCTGATAGATATTCTGAGAAATGTTAGACACACTTAAGGATCACAGCCATAGCACTCATTTAGGGTTAGGCCGAGGCGCCCGTAAATTGTACGAGCGCCTCGAAAGGGGTCGGTCCTGAGAATTTCTTGAAATGACATCATTGCAAGCTCTTGGGACCAACCCGTGGGACCTGTCACGTGCATTCTTACCGCTCGCTGGCACTTTTTTCTGTATCGACGTGTTCTCTGTGCAAGTCAATCCTTGATGCTCTTATTATCACCACTTCAGTGTCACTCCATAGGCACTTCCAAGGATGAGACAGATGACCTTCGCCAGGATCAGGGGCACGGGCCCTGGTAGGGTCACACACCTCTGGGTTTGCTCAGAGGGATAGGACGGATGAGAGGATTGTGCGTCTAAAGCGGCTGTGCCCACACCCGTTGCAAGATGAACTCCTTGACGTCCTCGTGTGCCAACCGCTTCTGTCTTGTCTGAGGATTCGAACGCATCCAATTTGTCCCTTCCGACGGATGGCAGCACGACTCGGGTAGCGCCACGCCCGTTGTATCCGAGTCGCTGATGCAGCCGAAGGACACGCGCCAGTTCCTCTACGTCCTCTCTCCCCTCTCCATCCCCGACTTTCCCGTGACGCACGCCCCTGGGAGCATCCTGCCCCTCGGTCGTCTGGACATTTTCTGGCGCTCGGGCTTTGACGAGCCCGGCCGCCTCATCACCTCCACCCTCTCGTGTCGCATCCCCCTCCCTCCTGCTGCCCCCGCGCCTACCGCACAGTCGATCGCGCCTCATCCGCCCGCAGCTGCGGTCCCTCCCTATTTGCAGCGCAAGGCCAGCGTATCTGGTGGCGGGCTCACCCGATCAGGCTCTCCACAGCTACCCATCGGCGCGCGACCGGCCACGCCGCCCTTAGGACCCGTCCCTGCCCGCACAGGCTCACCATTCCGCAACCGGCCGGCGAGTGTAGCCCCGAGCGCGCGGCCACAGTCTCCAAGCCTCGTCGGGGCAAACGTACCGGGTACCCCGGCGCTGGCGCCGCCTCCTCCTCCACCGCCTGATTTCGACGTCGACCTCGTTGTGCGCACCCCGCCGCCGAACCCCACACCCGTCGAGGAGCCCATCACCCTCGGCTTCACGCTCTCGGTATCGGCGCCTTCGCCCCCTCGTTCTTCGACTGCTTCCTAATCTCCTGCCGCGCACTCGGTTCCCACTCTGTATTCCGACGGTGATCTTGCTCAGCTCAACTATTTTCTCTATCGTCACCCTCCGTTTGCGCTGTATGTTTCGCGTCCTTGTAGTCCATGAATCTGGCTAACGGCATCACATGTAGACCCGAGCATGCAGACCAACCGGGCTGGTCACCCCAGCTGACAGCACTCCCGCTCGGCAAGGGCTTGGAATATATACTTCCCCGCCACCGCCACCGCATCATCAGCTTTACCCTCAACGACGGCTCGCTGTTCAATGTGAAGACGTGCACCATCATTGGCGGTGTGCACGCAACCGAGGTCATCGCCGCCCAGCGTGTCTTTTACGGCCAGAAACTGGCTGTTCGCGTGCCCGATCCTCCTCATGGTCTTGCCCAAGTCATTGGCTACGCCTTCGGCGGCCTCTTCCGCCAATTCCTCGTCTGGCCGTCGAGCATAATCTGGCCCGGCGCGCTCATCAACGCCGCGCTTTTCAATACGCTTCACATACACCATGCCCGTCGCCATCCGGGACACATGATCCGCGAACGCTTCGCGCTCCTCGCTAGCTTCGTGTGGTACTGGGTGCCCGGATCACTTTCTGGTCACCGACTCAGCGTCATGAAATGTGTGTGCAGGATCGAGCCGAACGACATCGTCGTCAATCAATTCTTCGGCACCGACACCAGCATATTATCGCATACATCGGCAGTCTTCCAGTAGTTCCAGTACGTTCAACTCTCCTTCTTCTATAAGCACAACATTCTCAATCTATGCTTTCACAGTAGTGGGCGGAGGCGAACACCTTCGTGTCGTTCATCCTGTGGTTCTGGGTCCTCACCCTGATCCTCCACTACCGCAACGTCTTCTTTGCCAAGTTCCTCTGGCTTCAATACGTAAGACAACACGGGCGTTTCATGATATCATGCACTAGATCCACCGCCCGCTTAAGGACGGGCGCGACCTCAATGCCGCTACCCAGAGGTTCCGCACTACTAGTGCTTCATCCTCTTCATCATCGCCTTCGTCCTCGGCATTGTCGCATTCAGGCACTGGCCGACGCAACTCCCCGTTTGGGTCTGTAACCTCGCGCTCCTCATCTCGCTCGTGCTCATCATCGGTTACGCGCTCCCCGGCCGGCCAATTGCGATGATGTTCTTCAAGACCTATGGCTTCATCGCAACGCCGCAGGTTCACATCCCTTCAATGTTGCCGAACATCCACGACTAGACGCCGACGACGACGAAGCAGGAGAGACCGATTTGGGACCAGAACATGATGTGCGGCGGGACCTTCATGTAGTACCAGAGTTTCGCCGGCGAGACCGATGGCCAGAAGAAGGGCTTCATCTGCCCATCCACGAGTATCTTTGCCTCCGCCTCCCTGCTCTGGGGCAGCATCGGGCCCTCGCGGATCTTCTCCGAGGGTGCCACTTACTACTCGCTAATGTTCTTCTTCCTCATCGGCGCGATCGCCCCATCCCGTTCTACGTCCTCACGCGTAAGTACCCACTCCCGATCCCGCGTCCTCCGACGCCCACGACGGGTGTGACACCCACTCGTCGTTTAGTACTGACTTGCACATGTCGTCACGTCCGGGGCATAGGACGTGCCGTTCCTAACAATCGTAACTCGTCAGCATCCAGTTGCCCACCCAATGGACGACAAATGACGCACGCTCTCCGGCAGCCGCCTGTAGCTGCCTTCCTTAGCATGCATATCGGCGCGCATCGCCAGCCCCACCGTCCGCTCCCGATCTGCTCCAGCCGTCTGCCGGCCCTCCCGCTCCCGTTTCTCAATCCCGTTGATCGCGTCCATACCAGCGATCCCACCAAACACCTCCTTCTCGTCCCAGCCCAGGATCTCCTTCCAACGCGCCATCAGTTCGCCGTCGCCGAGGAAGTTCCGGCTCTCGGCCACGAGCCTCCCGCGGTCGATGAAGCCCTGCGTGAAGAGGTTAAAGAGCTTGAGGAACTCGGCGTACGTCTCGCGCGAGTCGAGCGCGCGCTTCACAAGCGCGAAGAAGTGCCCATCCTCTTGGGCTGGGTGGCCGGCGGGCCCGTGGGGCCCATAGGAACGTCCGTGCGCGGGTTGCTGGTGCTGCTGCGAGTAGTGATGAGACCGGTCTCTATCAGAAGCGGATGCGCGGTTCCGCTCGCGAGCCGACGAGGCGACCTCCCGATCTCGCTCGAGCCCTCTCAACTTCTGGACATGCCATCAGCACACCAAGATCTCCAATGAAGCGCGTTACGGAAGCATACCTTAACGATGCTCCGGTCCCTGCCCGACTCCGACCTCACATCCCCCTCCTTCTCTCACTCCTTCTCCTTCTCGGGCACCTTGCGCTTCCGTTTCACCGGCACTACCGGCGCATTCTCGCGTTCGCGCTCCCGCTCCAGTTTGCGCTCGCGGTCCGACTCCCTCGTCCGCTCCTTGTCCTTCCGCGCCGGAGCGCGTGGCGGCGGGCTCACGAACCGCCGATCGTGCTGTAGCGTGTGCGCCGGCTGGCGCTGCCTATGTTGCAACATGTATGATTCGGACATGATCGCCGGGAAAGACGCGTACAGATCTGCATCCTTCTCCATGAGCTTCTCCATCTGCGCTAGGATCGATTGCTGCACTACGTGTTCTCGTCAGCCGTCATACGTGAGAATACGATAAGAAACGTACCTCTTCTTGAGAGAGCCCCGCTCCTTGGCTCATGATCCTTCAAAACTTGGCATACGTCTCAGGATCGGTTCGCGCCCGGAGCTTCTGGACGAACAGAAGCGCGGGCGGGAAGTGCTCTGGGTCGTCCACCGCCATCGGCACAGGGACTTATCGCTCCCACTCGCCTCAGATCCTCTCTCGCGATCCCTCTCTCTTTCGCGCTCTCTCGCATGGACCTCGCTCGCAACCTCGACCGAGCTCTGCAACACCTGACCGGCGGGGGGGTGGTACAGCTTCGGCGGCTACGTTCGCATTTGTGGTAGGTTCTACGGCTGGGAGAGGCGAGGTGAGGCCAGAGGATGGTGCGACAGGAGCCGGGTCTTTGAGGAGGATGGCGGCGCGCCTTCGAGGATCAAGGCAATATGTCTGTGGAGAGGAGGGCAGCACGGCTTCAAGCCTTAAGGACGGGTGCAATGGTTAGCAAGGCGGGCAGGCCCCTACAGGCATGGGTGTCGATGCTAGGGTAGCAACCCGAGGACAATGTAGCCGATGAGCGCCGTCATCGACGAATAGCCTCGCGCTGACTTTGAGTGCCGGCCTAGACGGCCAGCGCGGTTGCTTCTATGGCGGTTGGAAACAGGTTTCAAGACAACGTGCTCGCGCACTGGCAGGAGCCGGCAATCTCAGATCAATGCTTGATATTTGCAGGCGCGAATATAGATGCGAGAGAGGTGATCGCGCGCGGATCCGCACACGACTCCTTCACAGCCACATCCCCATTACAACCAGAGTTCAGCAAGCCTATAAACGAGTTTTATGCTGCCAGTCGCCGATATTTGCACAGTTGCAAAACATTGTACGCCGGGCAGGGCAGCGCCATTGCTGCTTGATGACGATCACACGTCTTATTTTTCACAATCAGGGAGTTCTACAGTTACTCAGTTTGCGATGGTCAGCTCTACATGTACATGAACAGATCCACTATATGTGCACACTATATGTGCATGAGAAACTCAGTACGGAGCGCAGGGGTCCTAACTTGTTATGGCTAAAGGTGCCACACCCGCTGAGAATCGAGCCTTCAAATACACAAACTCTACAGTTCTCGCACAACAACAGCATGTAGAGGAGATGGGAAAAATGTCGTGCGGATATTTTTGATATTTTGAGCATATGATACGGGATCGAAACCCTCGGGAAGAGCCAATTGAAATCGAAGTAGAAGGCGAGCGATGACTATACGAAGCTCCTGCATAGCCAAGTTACGGCCAATGCAGCCGAATGGCCCTGGGATCGATGAGCGATCAGGCAGGGATTTATGAGCTGAGTACATACCGAATGAGAAAGACATGATTGTGTTCCCATCCACCTTGGATTCCTCTCCAAGACCACCAGGGAGCCACCTCTCCGGGATGAATTGTTCCGGATGCGGACAGAAGTTTCTAGGGTCCAGCTGTTGAGCGTAATTTGGTACGGATACTACCGTGTTCCCGGGGATATAGGAACCGTCTATGAACGAGCCGCCAGTGGGTGTCACTCGAGGGAGTCCAGATAGGGGAGTACCAAGGCGCAACGATTCCTGGATCACGGCGTTCAGGTACGGTAATTCCGCAAGAATATTGAAAGCCAGCACTCCGTGACGGTCCGGAAAAGTCTCCTCCAGCTCCTTGCGAAGTCTGCTGTGCACAGCATCATGCGACAATATGAAGAAAAATGCATATTGCAAAACGTTGGCAGTCGTGTCGGACCCTTCTACGTGTGAGCGGAAATACACGACAAGATATGGTGTTGACATTCACCCGCTTGGATTGCGAACAATGCGTCCATGGTCTTTTCGTCGCTGGTCAGTGGACGTTGACCATCCTTTTCTTCAATCTTGATACATAGGAGTTGTGTTTGAATAGCGTGACGCGAGTGCATGGGAAAATGCTTACGAGATACGATGAGATATCTGAGCCATAGTCAAGATCCTCGCCGCGAAGCTCCCGACGAGTTATGAGTCCACGCGCGAGAGTGTGTAGAGCTTTGATAGATGCTGTACTCGGCAGATACCACAGTATATCCATGAGCCAAGGGACTTCCCCGAGTCTACGGCGGCCTTAACTTTAGCGCACCATCCTCGTCTATCATATCGGACCGTGACGTACATATCGAACAACGCGGTCGCCTTTTTGCCATTCTCAACGAGACGAAAAGGATCCCCCCTTTTCATCAGCTCCTAGAATATTGAAAGTCAGAGGTATGAGTCCTCGCACTTGGTAAAAGAAGAAGTAGGACAAATCACCAGCTCACTGCTCTGACCAAATGCAAAATCTCCCTGGTAACCACATGTTTAGTAGAGCACCGAGATCATACAGCTTAAGACCAACCATGAAGTCGTAGGACCAGTGCTCAATGCATTCGGCAATATTGACAATTCTGCCTTTGAGTCGCTGGCCAATGCACTGTGTGAGCTCAATCACGCGATCATCTAGAATCTTCTCATATTTCCCTAAGCTAGGGTCGTCATGGGGTCAACAATGAACGGAAATGAGATACGGTAAACTTACTTGATGTTGGAGAATGCTGGAGCCCATTGATTTCGCCGGGAATTGTGCGATTCTCTCTCTAGCATAAAGAAGAGACCGTTCCCAGGTAGTACGTGCAGACTGTAGGCTGAACTGCGATCCATGCAATGGGCCGAAGCGTAAACAGGACCGATAGCAGATCTCGAGTTGATCGAGAGCGAATTCGGGCCTACGAAAATCATCAGTATGCGAACTTATACTATATATCTGGATAGGAGAGGCCAACCTATCCGTACAATATCGCCGTATTGCTCATGAAGACTCCGGATTGTTTTGTGGCGCCAACCGGAGGCAACCACTTCGGCATAACGCAAGTTCGTGATCTTGTAACTCAGAGGACCGGGAAACGTGGCAAGCGGATGCCAGGGTGATATCCTGTATAGAACCAGAAGTGTGGCCATGACAGCTAGTTGGATTGCGGTCATGACGAAGACAGCTGCAGTGGAAACGGTCCCCGTGACCAATTGCAATGCCTCAGTCCCCCAAGGTTGTCGATGCGAGCCATCTTCAAGGGAAAGGGCAACGACATAGTACATGGCAAGGATGACGCCTTGAACCCCTATCGCCACGTCACCACGGGGAGGATGCCAATGCGAAGCGACGGATAACAACTATTTTTCGTCAGCTGAGCAAGTAGACGATGAAACTGATCGCCATACCATCCCTGTCAGAGACGAGGTAACTACTGATGTATACATTCTGGAGTAGAGAAGAACCAGGAATGCATTTTGTGGACCCCCATGCCCCGGCCAATATATGGAGAGATTGCACAGCATGTAGAGTGCTATGTTTATGGCACAAGATAAGGGGTACTATAGTCAGAGGAGATCAATGCAGTCCATCAGAGGGCAGAGAACTCAATCTGGATGCCGCTCCGATTGCCATGTCATTGTGTACGTGCATGGCTGACCCCGGTCAATTGATGGTGGGCGCCGGACTGAAATGGAAGTCGTAGCGCAGCGATCTGGCTTGATGAGAGTAGTGTCGTATTGCCATCGTACCTAGAACACTGTCGAACCCGTGATGTCCGAGAACGCGCGCGGGGGACGGAAATCGATTAAGTTCAGGTAGCGGCCGGCTCCGCGTGGGCCGCGGCGCACGCGGAGACGGTGAGTGAATATAACTTAAACTGCATAGTCCGTGAATACCTGCTGAACGCGGGCGCTCGCGTCGGATCTTAAACCTTAAACCCTTAAACCCGCGCAGATCTTCGATCCAATCTCGATATACATACCTACACCGCGGCGAGCCGCACGATGGATCGATATGGGATGGAAGCAAATATACCGACATAGCCCGGGCTAAACACAGGGGCTCACGAACAGCGCCCGTATCTACATCACGTATACATCAGGAAATGCCCCCTCTGGCAAATTTCTACATATAGGAATACATAGTTCATAATATGACTATATTCTATTAAAATTTCACAAAAAGGCCAAAAAATCACATAAAACTGTTAAATCATGCCAGATGAGTGACCATTTAGAGAGTAGGTACAAGGGGGCTTGAAACCATTGACATAGAAGGTTGTTGCAGTGTCAATCATATTATCACTGGTCCATGTACAAGGAGAAGCTAGAGACCATATCTAGGTGTGAGTATTGTGGTTGGGGTTTGGTACTTGACTGCTGACACCTCATCCTTGCATGGCTCCCTCTGTGATATCAGTTCATCCCATCTACCCCTAGCTTATATACACATCCTGCATGTACATCTGAAAAGCCAGATATATCTGTAGCCAACAACATAGTTATGTACCCTGTAGATCACTGAGGTGATGGCTAGGAAACACTATTATAATGGTTTAGTCTCATGTGGTTGATCTCTCTAATGTCCTATTCATTTACTATTGACAGCCTCATGAACTGAAATGTATCTCTATATACTTTGGGATTGCTATGACATAGAGATACAGTAGCCAACACTGACTTAGGAGATTCAACGCGAATGAGCCCATCACGTGACGACCATCCTGCCGGCTTGTCGTCTCAGCCCACCGCGCTGGCAAGAGTGCGCCTGGCACCGCGCTTGCAAGTGCGCACGTCTCGCAAGTCTCCGCCGTCGCATCTCGCCCCGACACTTGCAGTGCCCGCTCCGCCGTCCTCAGCTTCCACCCGCTGCCCCTGTCCGAGGGAGAGCCACCAACGCGGTCTCGCTCGGTGCAGCTCCCACCTCTGCCGTCTGCCCATCCCCGAGTGCGAGCCGCCAATGCGGTCGCACTCGGCGTAGCGTTCTCCCCCGCGCCCGCCGTCGCACCCCGCCCCGAGCATTCGGAGTGCCCGTCCTGCCACCCCCAGTCTTCCGCCC